CAAGAAGTATTCTCCAGCAAAGAAGTAGAAATAATAAACAGAGTTTTATAAGGTGAAAGTAGGTAGATTAGTATTTGTATTACGAGATAAAGAGAGAGTAGGAATCGCGACACGACGGAAATCAGAAAGGAGAACGACTGTTCCAACACAGTGTTTAATGTGAACAGGTTTTACCGAGGGTATGGTAAGCCTCAACAGAATGAACACAGAGATAAAACTGAGGCAAGACCATTAGATAATTGATAATTGAAGGGTGCGTAATTCCCCTAAAAAATTACGATGCATGCACTTCACCTACCGAAAAAATATTGCGCAACTTTTTTTTAGAAAAGAAATATCTTGCAAACGCAAAAAGGGGTTATGCTCAGGGGTTATTTAAAAAAATATTGTGCAACATAAATTCCTGCAGCACCCTCCCCCCCTTAATTATCTAATAGCCAATCACTAAAATCGGCAGTTGGTGAAACACCAGCTCAGTAGTGTTGGCATTAGATTATGAGAAAATGACTCGAAGGTAGTGAATGTATTTCTAGCTTCCAGTAATTGAATATTACTAATTACAAAAGGCAGACAAAGGGAATTGTCTTGCGCGCCACCCCGGGAAAACGTAAACAAGATTTAGTGATTTTAGTTTAGTTTAGTTTATTCGTCACTATTTACAACCTGAGGTACAATATGTGATCTAATGAAATAAGTGAGCTAAATATAGTTATATAGAGACAAAAAGGAAAAGATAGTGAAAAAGAAGTAGGTTAATATGATAAGAGCGTGACAGGAGGAGGATACAGGACTTGCGTCCCAATTGACAACCTTCCCCTATTGTAGTAAAACTGAAAAAATACCAGGAGGTACTTCTTAGAACAATTTTGCATTATGAAAAAATTAGTATGAAATACAAGAGTGGAGAGGCACTTCTGACTGCTATTGGCGCATCAAAACATTAATGTTATTATATTGAATTGTTCTAACGACTTTTCGAAGCCAAGCACGTGATATCTAACGACGGAATAATTAATTAATCAAAAGGGAAGCAGAAACTGGAAAGCTTCGTTTGGGTTTCCTGTGTCAATTGTACTTTTCTACGGTCAACCTCTGTACTAAAAATGTCGAATATTGACTGCGCATGTTTATGTAAATTAACACCATGTTTGGAGTTGAAATAATAAAACTAGTTCAAGACTAAAAAGTAGAACTCAGCTGTTGATTTCAGAACTCAGAACAAAATTGCGAGACACTTTTGGTAAGTTTATGACAAGGCAATTGCTCTGCAATCTATTTGACAACAGAATTGCGAGACAAGTTGCAAGAAAGATTGCCTAATGTAACATCATCTTTCTCATTGTTTTTTCCCCTCGGGCTTTTCATTTTACTATATTCAGTTCTCTTTATTTTCAAAATTCCGTACTTTTTCTTGGTTTGAGCTAAAAACTAGAAACGACAAGGAAAAGCTACGGCTTCCGCGTGACTCTTCCGTCATATTTTCCTTGGCGTGGGGTACGAGGAAAACTAGAAAAAGCGAAATTCTTGTAGCAGGAAATACAACTGTGGTTTAGGTTCAAAACTGACACAATATATAAAAATAAAATTGACATTGAAAGATCTATTTTCAAGACTTTGAATGAAATTAGAAGGGTTCATTACTAAACGAGGATTATATACTAGATAATTGAGGTATACAAAGAACAAAGAATGATATGAAAGTATGGACACATAGGCAAGAGTGGATAGAGGCCTAGAGGGCCATAGTCCTTTCCCCGGCACACGTTTTGGCCAATACCATAAAATATCATTTTCGAGTAGAAGATCGTCCCATCATTGTCATCTCAAGGGTGCTAGGGTAAATATTGGTGGTTTTTTTAGCCGTTAGACTCCGTTAGTATCGAGTGTTTTTTTAGCCGTTATAATCTGTTTAAACTATTACTTATTTGTTCTGTTATGTGCTGGCTTGAGTTTTTCTCACAGCAGTAAAAAATACTGGGAAAAACTGAAAAAATTCAAACCAGCACATAACAGAACAGATAAGTATAAGTTTAAGCAGTTTCTAACGGCTAAAAAACACCAATATTTGCCCTAGCGCCCTTGGTCATTTTATTAGCCCCGTTTCCCTCTTCTCCGCTTCTGTGTCCTTGGAAGGGCAGGTCTGTTTTGGATGTCAGGTGAAGTGCTTACCTTAACATAATTTAATATTAATGCAATGTACCACTAGTAGCTTTTAAAAAGGCTTTGCATACGTTTTATATGTCTTTGATATTGAAAATAAAGGAACCACAAAAAATATCCTTGTATGAGTAAGGGATAACAGTTAGTTCCAGTATTAGTTTCTCTCCACTATGTGTCAAAATTCATTGATTAGCGGGGAATCTTGATGTCAGTTAAGAACCATGGTCAGTGCTGCAGTGCTACCGACGAAGGTTGTCATGATCAAATGAAATTTAAGTACCCGAAGAAACTGACCACCAAAGCACAGAAGAGAACCAAACTCTACTCACGTACGACCAATTATACCAGTAATACAAGATGTTGTTTAAAATGGAAAATATTACACCCTCCTCCAGATCCATTAATAGCCTCATACATATTCATAAGATGTCATTAATATTCCTACGGCTCCTCATCAAATGAAATTTAAGTACCCGAAGAAACTGACCAWCAAAGCACAGAAGAGAACCAAACTCTACTCACGTACGACCAATTACACAAGTAATACAAGATGTTGTTTAAAATGGAAAATATTACACCCTCCTCCAGATCCATTAATAGCCTCATACATATTCATAAGATGTCATTAATATTNAAGTAATACAAGATGTTGTTTAAAATGGAAAATATTACACCCTCCTCCAGATCCATTAATAGCCTCATACATATTCATAAGATGTCATTAATATTTATACGCCTAGCTCCTTACCGGGTATTCATTTTCAGTGTTCTGTTTCGTTGATATTTTTTCCTTATTTACATAATCCTATTCCTGAGTTCTAAGCATATTTTCTAGTAGTGTCCGAAGACCCAGGAATCATAACCATTCATCCAACATGGCGAACATGACTTCACGCTACAATGTGGCACAATATCAGGAGTTTGATTTCACTAATTATTTGAAAAAAAATTCTTTAAAATGTGTGAGTGCTTTTGAATGAAATTGGCAAAAGTAGTCGACTGAGTTGAGTTGAGGCAATGGCGGCGAACAATAATCTGTTTTTAAACAGCATCACTGAAACCATGAGATCTTCTGGTTGTTTATCCCCTTATTAAACCACTCATTACTTGAACACGGTCTAACAGATTTTACCAAAGCCATAGTCCTTCAGTAGTGGGTCCTCTTGACATAGATGGATTATTCTAGTTTTCTCAGTTTCTCAATTTGTGGTCATTACGATTGTTGCTATGGAAATCTTTCGATTTTTCTTACCAAGAATAAGTAGATCTCATTACACAGCTCTATACCCAACTCTATAATGGTAGCAGCCACAGTATTCGCTATTTGTAACTCAATGAATACAACTAGGGGTATTGTAGTCGCAACATTTGGCTCTTGCCATGTTGGAAGTTAATGCAAATTTGAATGGACCATTGAAGAAAGTATTCTGTGTTTGCATAAAATGAGACACATTGGCAGCACCAGGTAAATATGTTGGTTCACGGTTTTGATTTCTAAAATATCAAGCATGCATCTCACCAAGATTTGAACCTCACCACTGGGCATCAATTATTGTGCATTACTTACAAAACAACCTTGAAGTTTCTGCAAGCGATCGACATTGACAAATGCACGGACGTTCAAGCTAATAGTCATGTGATCTGTTATTTAATCATTAATGTTGGGATATGATCATGTGACGTGATGTATTTGTTGAACATTGTGTTATTGCACGCGATGTAGCATGTCTCCATGAAGCTCGTGAGTGTGACTGATTGAGTAAGCTTGCACGAAAAGGCTTAAAATACATATTTCGTCGTGCGTGTGCGGTTTCTTCTAAGAACATAGGGCAGGGGGTGCTAGTGAACTGACTTCTTATGACTGAACAGCCATTCCTGTTTTGCCAGAATTTATTATGATTAAATGGTCTTTCTATTGAATATATTCCATTATGTGTCTTGAGCAAACAAAAATATATCCTCGAAAAGGTGCATGTATAAGTTTATTTTTAACTGGGGGTGCAACCACATGACAACCTTTGAGATATAAATAACAATGAGACAGCCGACTTGTTGGTTAATGATCAAAGCAAGAGAAGCTAAGAGAAGAATGCATTGCTATCGTGAACCAAAATGGCGGCTTCGATGCGATACGTACCCCCCAGGAACCAGTACCTTGTAAACATTAAAGTTATCCCAAAACGTCAGTATAATCCAGAATAACCAGTAAAGAATCTCATTAAGATGCAACTGTGTGGCTAGCCGAGACGGACAAGGCAGGATCAGATGGTATGACTGACTGACTTAACCTGTGAATATTAAACAAGACATTTTATTTAAGAAATTCAACTCGTTTCTTGGACACTTTTATTCAGGGATCAAGGGACCAAGTACTTAAAACCTTCCGATTTTTTCTTCCACAAGGCTTTAAAACAGGTTTTTGCGTGATATTTAATACTTTAATGACACTTGCCAAAATAGGCCACGTGATTTGGTATTAAAACTAATAGAATTGGTTTCCAGTGGTTCCCCCAGGCGTTTTAACGATGTCTTCTAGAAAAACGTATGCTTTGCTTTGAAAGTACTGCCGAAAATCGTTTGATAAGAAGAGTGCCTCTTGATCTTATCCCCCTCAAGCTAATTATTGTTTCTTATCGTTAGAAGATACGAAGATAACAAAAACAAGTACCTGTTTTCCCCCCACAAGAAACCATCATGAATACATTAGCGATCCACGTGAATGAATATTAGACATTAATTTCAAAGCTGTAGTAACACAACCCATCTTATTTACATCCATTATTACCACTGCAAAAATCCTATCAGGTTAATAATAGGAGCACGGTTTTTAACGCTAATTTTTGGTACGTCCAAGCTCGTGCTTTTGGGCGAATAAACTCTGAAACTCTTATAAGAAGGCAAGAAAAACACTTTGGGTTGTTACAAGAGTTTCATTTCAAAGGGGTAGCGTGCAACGTCTATGATAAAGGCATCCCAGTTTCTTCATCACATCTTTGAAGAAAAAGAGAAAGGTGAGTCGCAACCAATTAGGCCTTCTTTTCACTAATACCATTTCTAGAAATATATTTATATTTCATGTGGTTTTACTGATTGCTATTAGGACTTAGCCACGCACAAAGATTGTTTTTTATAATAACACTCGCGGTCTTAGGTGCCTTCCTTTAGGATATTGCCCCGGCACGAGCAAACAGTAGCTCCCCCAAAGAAATATTGACATAATAGCTCTCCAATTTAGAAATCTAGGTGCTACTTTTCTTCATTTCCAATCATATATATATCCTTCAGACTCGATGACCTTGCTGTAGCTTTACGCTTGATTCGGTGCTATGCTTTACTTTTTATAATAATCATATGGCTTCATAATGCCACGTATATGCTTCGTTCAAGTCTACTTTCTCTGTCTTTCGAATGTGATTTTGGTTATCGTGGACAGCTCTAAATTAACGAGTTCTTCAAGAAATTTCCTTCGCTTGTGGTGATGAATTGTCTAACTGTCATGAGAGGTAGAATAGTGGAATCAAAGACTGACTAGTGTTTGTATTACGGGGCTTTATCACCAAAAATAAAAACAAACACTTCAACAAAGCTAAAGATGTGTTCATTATAACATTGTTGCTCTAACCTTTGTCACTGTTATAATGTCATTTTTTGAGTCTTGCTGTTCATGAATCTAGTATTTAGATTTCGGGTCTGTTTGAACACGCTGTGAAATGGTATTGATATAAAAGACGAATTAAAATATCAAAACAAAATAGCAATAACAATAAAAGGGTAGTTCCAGCGGTACGAGGATATGACGTGACGTTAGTTTTATCGACGGATTTTGTCTTCATGTGTTGCAGAAAACTTCGATCAAGGAATCATTGCTGGCTAATATTAGTACAATATTGAACGAAATTGAATTAATTTATAATTCGAATAAAATATCACTTCTAATTACTGGACTAATCCACCCAGCCACACCTGCCTTGGTCGTATGTCATGAATATAATCTATTAAAAGGATCCTTAAAATATATTTATATTATGGGGAAGATTACAGGATGATTTTCTAACTAGTTGGTAATATTTCAGTTGTCATTCTTGAGTCATAATATACCATAGTGAATCTACGAGGACGATTAATTTTCTTGTCATAAATATGTGCAGTTATTATTGTTGATATTTAAAAAAAAGTATGGTAGTATTGCTTGCTGCTTAAATCGTTACTAGAGAAGTATAGATATGATCAACTACAAATTTGAGCAAAATACGGATGAAGGAAGTGTAGATATACGCATAAATACTGATGCCAAGCCAGCTGTGAAAAACGACCATTCTATAAACATTACAAAAAAGGTTGTCTTGTGGATAATGTAGTCGGGTTAAATGGCATAAAGAGAGAGTGTTTTAGATATCCAGCATTCGCTGCAAAGCAACGTGCTTTACCTTTGGTACCCAATACATCATTTCTTGTACGAATACTGAATACTTTTCTTTATTTTTTGTATTGGACTTATTTACTATGCAATATCCAGCATTCGCTGCAAAGCAACGTTTTAAATACAAATTCCACAGTGTAGATAAAAATATTATGGAGAATATCTCGACTCAGTTTAGCAATATATTAATTTTTATAGATGAATATTGAATTCAAAACGACTCACTAAAACAGATTAAAACAATGTATTTTTTAACGGTTTTTGCGATAGATTAATTAAAGTAACTGTTAATTGTTAAGTATTTCTTAAGACTGAGAAAGAGACAATGTATTGTAAATCCTTCCGTTGTTAACAGAATAAGCTTCCAGACGCAAAACTTCTGCTCAGCCATGCAGTAAGTGTTTCTAAGCCCGTTGTTGAGGATTCATAAAAATTAGAATTTTCTAAGGGTTGTGAATATTAATGCTTACTATTTCCAAGTTGCTTTTTCTTATTTTGACTTTCAAGAGATAGATATCTATTTTTCAGTAGAAAAACTGGCTCTCTAGTTCAACAAGGTTCAAAACACGGAAGGTTCGTTTTAAAATAGCTATTCATACGAATTAAATTAACTAAAATCTTTTTTTTTTTTAAATAGTGGGATACAAATTAAAGTATACTAGTTTCCAGGTCGGCCCACTGTCTCTCACACACCTTACCTCTACATTAAATATTCTATGCACGCACAACTCTCAACCCACAACTAGAGAACCTGTAAAAATAATCTCGTGGCAAGGAGAGTGTACAACAGATCAACCGAAACTCAACTCAAATATGATCCAATCTGAACACTAGGGGTTCCAACACGCGGACCACAGCTGTGAGAGACAACCACTATGAATTCAGTCATTATCTGTACAATTCACACGAACATTTATGTATGTAGCTTTGGTTCCCATGGCCATCGTCTTCAGTGTGCATAAGTGAACGTAAAAGTCCAACAAAAAACAAAAACAAACTTCTGTTTTCATGACGTACATAAAAAGATAGAAATATACTAAGGTTATAAACCGATTTTATTTTTATATGTTGTTATATTATTTGATCATGATATGGCCATGAGATATTTAGTGCCAGATGGCATGTATGGAAGCCCACGATACCATTTTAGCATTTTTGATATTTTTGTATTCATGAATGTTTTTGTACATAATTTACATGGATAAAACACGATTATTCCCTGCGCCCATGGTATTGATGGTTTTCACGGCGGCCATGTTGGAGGAACTTAACAAAAGAATTGCCAATGAATTCTTTTGTTATATCCTCCAACATGGCCGCCGTGTCTTTTGTTATTTAATTCTCTTGGGAATGTTTGAAAACCATCAATAGAAATCAGATCCTGCATGGGCAACTAACCAACTGCAATAGCGGATAGAGAACATCAATGATGATGATGACAAAGTGCATACCCATAGTCCCATTTGGTCTTGTAAGGACCTTTTTTCAATTTCCTTTAGTTCTAGTAACCTTTTCTAAGTCTTAAGTGTATGGAGTTTTTTCCGTGTCGTTCTTATGAAATAAGGACACTTCACTAAGTAGCTCTCTCGCTCCAGTGCCTCTCCTTCGTAATTTCGCGCATGCTGTGAGCAAGAGAGGTACGTTCTCAGTGAAACTCGCAGTATTTTCTCTGCCTCATGCATTCATAAATAGCTTAGCTAAATATGCGGAACTACAGACACAACAGACAAATCGAAAGACCATGACAATAAGACATGATAAATTAATTTTCAATAAAATGATTATAACTTTTAATGATATTTAAAAATAGATATAAATCCAGCTATAAAAATGTGACTGACAGCAGCAGCCCATTTGGTAGAAAAGAGAATTCACAATGACTATTTTTATTTGACACCCTATTTTCACAAGCAAGCTAAGCCAATGAGAAGAGTCTGATGGATGACGTCACAAAATCACGTGATGTTCCTATAAGGAAATTGTCGCACGAGCATAGTAGCAGTAAATGGAGAGAGTAGAGAGTTTTGAACAAAACAAAAGTTCAGAAAAGAGTTTGGTTCAAGTGGTTCAGGGGAAGTTAAGAGTGTTGACAATGATTTGCATAATCTAAAAATAACCTACACAGATAATTCAAGAGAATGGGGGACCATATAATAAGGACAAGCGCTGCAAGCTCCTATGTCATTGGATCCTGCCTTCAGTTTTTAATTTTTTTTTAAAAATTTACAAGTGAATAATACGTGTTTTATTACTTGTCTTTGCAGATCACATCAAAGTGTTGCATCACTCACTTGTAAACTGGCATAAAAGCACATAAAACTTTTAAACTGCTCAACTAACAGCCTCAAGAATGGCAGAAAAAGACCAAATAAATGTTAAAATAACTGATAAAGAGGCAAAAGAAACGGAAAATAATGTAGTTGAAGAAAAGATGGAAGGAAAAGAGAATAAGGAAGGTAGTGAGAAGGAAAAAGGTGAAGTCAAAGAGGAGACTCCTGAAAAAAWTGAATCGACTTTTAATCGATTTTTTGGCTGGTTTAGAAGTAAACCCAAAAAAGAAGAAGAACATGAAAAAGAGCAAGAAAATAAGGAAGAAATAAAAGAGACAAAAGAGAATGAGAATAAGAAAGAGGCAATCGTATCTGAGGATAGCAATGAAGTAAAAGAAGAAGTGGAAGAAAGAGAAAAGGATATCGAGACATTCAAAATAAAAGAAAATGGAATCGAAAAAGGAAAAGAAGACACTAAAGATATCCCCGCCACAATTGTGGAAAATAAAGGTAAAAAGCACACTTGATAGACACATGACTCTGCTTACAACCTCAGGGACTCTGAAAATAAACTTAATGTGCCTTTGCTACGCACTAATTATTACCGCAATAGCTTTAGCTACAGTGGCGCCACTTTGTGGAAAAGTCTTCCTAGTGGTATAAGAAACTCAGAGTCTCTGGGGATATTTAAACGCAAGATCAATGATATTCTATAACGCACGGCATTCACGGAAAGCAGCTTTTAGTATATTGTTTATTATACTATATATGTATTTTTTAACTATCTATCTAACTACACGGACATGAGTTTAATCCAATGCATAATTTTTCTTTTACTGCATGAATCAGATATAAGCCTGATGTATGACGAAATTTATAATTCGTGGTTAACATTAATAAAATAATATGTGGCAGTTTGAAATAATTGATTAATCATCATCATCATCATCATCATCGTCATCATAAATAATAATAAATAATGATTAATTATAAATAATAAATAATGATTGTTTTTAAAAAAATGAAAAGCTTGCAATGCGCAAAAATAAAATCGATCTAAAAAGGAAAAAAAGAAATACACCATCAATTTAGTTTAGAAAAATAAATAAAAATGAGAAGAATGAAACTGTAAACTATACTCGATATTCACTAAGCCTGAGGTAAATAATTGTTTAAGACTTGAATTGCTTACTATCAATCACGTGACTTTTTTGAAGTAGACTGGGAGACTGATTAATATGCAACCAGCAACTCCCAACTCCCTGATTAAATCTCATCTGAAAGTTTGAGTTTCCTTAATCAAAATCTGCAAGAGTACTAAACCTGGCTACTAGAATAATCGCCTAGGTTCGGGGTACTGAAAACCTTGCCCATACAAGTCATTAAGAATTCATCACTGAAACGATTGACATTAAACGGTCAGGTTGGCTGAAACTACACCCACATAAACAACATCATTTGAATGAATCATTGATATATGACTGACCCCTCCAGGCTTTGAATGAAAGTAATTAGTACTTAGTATAAGTGGCTTGAGAAAATTGTGAGTGATGTGAATAACTATGAGTTGATTTAATGCAAACAAGCCCTGAATTTAAAAATAAAATAATTAAAAGTTTTTCCAATCTCTGATGATTTTGAAATCGTCATTTGCATAATTGATAAGATTAGCCAGTTTGTTGACTTAGTGACCCATAAACGAAATGTCTGCAAACCTTTCTCTGAACAATTGAAATTCTCTGAGGTTATTCTAGCTGGAAAAAAACCGTTAAAATATACTCTTTAATAATATAAATTAATCCCTATGTTTGTTACAATCGATAGATATTTGTATTATTTCACTGCAATTTTCATAAACATGCGAACTCGTTGAACGCTGAAATTTGTTTTTTCGCTACAGTCAAAAATATGAAAGGTACCGACTGATTAGGTTTGATTGACGGTAGCGAAAAAACAAACTTCAGAGTGCAGCTCACATACACAGGGTTCGTATGTTTATGAAAATTGTAATAATAAATATCAAATATTAAATTTTGACATCGACAAAACTAACAGGTAAAGCCAAAATCTAATCCATAAAATTGAATATTATAATGATGGCTTTTAAAATTATCAAATACCTTTTGTATTTCATAAAAGCTTTGATAAATCACCCTTCAGCTATTGAGTGATATAATGTAATAAATCATCTGAGCTCGGAGATCAAAATGCACAGAAAATGCATTTTGATAATTTATGATGATATTTAAGATGTTTGATATTTCATAATGTCTTGATTTGCTTGTACGTTTTCTGAACTGTAGTACTTTCGATACTAAGAGTATTATCCATTTTTTTTGTATTTTTTTCTCCAATAAACTGGAAGCAACGCGATACTAGTGTACAACGCGAGCCTATAGTGAGCAGCCAATATTTCTCAGTTCATAGGTCAAGACTGCTTTTCAACTATATTAACAAATTTCCATATATTTTGCGTACACAGAGACACTGCCAGTTTCTAGTGATCGCAGTTTGCTTATCATCGAAGAGGAGGGTAAAACTGGCAAAAAGTTAGCCCCCCTAGCGCAGGCAGAGGAAGAAGACAGCGACGAACCTTCTGGGTCCCGGCCAAGTATCGATCGACCAGTTATTGAGCCGAAGAGTGCCGACGCAGTACAAGCGGAAAGGGAAACAACTGAGAACAAGGCGCTGTCCCAGGACGACATAGACGCGAAGACCGAAAAGAGAAAATCAGCGACGGTATTTCTGCATTTGAGTCAACCAAGGTTTGAACGTCATTCGCAGGAGGGCGCCGATCCACAAAGGCACGATAAGGCATCTGAACACGACGAACCCTATCAAAGCGTTGAACAAGACAACAAACTCGTGGCAGCACAGCACGCCGCCCCTAAAAAGGACAACCAACAGGTACGAAACTAACTGATAACAAGCTTGAACAACATAAAAACATATTAATGCATAGAAAAACATAAATGTGCGACCTAACGCTTATAAAATGAAAAGAAATCCATTTCGTGACACCGTAATAGCCAACGTCTAATGTTTTCTAATGCAAATTATTTGTTAACGCATTAGTGAAGAAAACTTTGTTAGCGTGGGCTTTGACAAAGAAGTTCAGAAAGAATTAAAGAGCACAGTGTATTAAATTGGGTTTTAATATCTCGCTTGAGCCTTGTAGTAGGCTCTAGGACGGGTTTGAAGGAGAGACCTAATTATATAAATGCTTATAACGTACTTGCGTTACATCTGTCAATCATTGTTGAATTAAATTAGTCACGTCTGAAGAAGGAGGTTCAGACGTGACTGTCGTTCGAGAAGGTTGAACTTCATCCACGGATGAAAAGATTCTCAAAAGCAACGCTACAATTTTGTTATTGAAGTTATTCTAGCAGAAAGGTTAGTGTGTTTACTTTCATTACTTGTCGCATTCAAGTGTAAGAGATACCATTTGCGAGGGCCAAAGTTAAAGTGGCCTTGTGACCCATTTGGAATCTTCACACGCAAGAACTCGCTAGCCAAAATATTATAAAAATGTTAAGCTTTTTCTGAATATCTGTCATAATCTAAGTCACTAAATGATTGGCTTTCTAGCTATAAAGCTGAGAAGGGAGTTAAAATTTGCTTAGTAATCATTTTATCAAGGAAACTATCATGTTTAAAGCGATATAAATGCTTTCAGGATCCATTGGTTGTCATCACTATCAACATGATTAAGCTACGCGTCTTGCTTGACATTTTCTTTTCGCTAAAAGTTAAGTTATAATTCGGGGTTCGCTAAAGTTTTATTCCAGCAAGTTCTGCATAATTATTAAGATAACAAGCAATGGACAATATATTTTAATTAATCTTATCGTCAAAGTCTGTGACATGCTTCTATTCTTTTTTTCTCTTGCGTTTTCCAGTGCATAGATGTGTTGCCTAGAAATTAGTAGATTCGAAAACCTTCTTTTTGACTCAAGACGACAAATTTGTACGAAAATTCAGAAAATAATTAAGAGAATTCAGCCTTCATATGGTTTCTATTAAAAATTTGTTCCATGAATGTTATCCAGCACACGTGTTGCATTGCTGTTGTTTATTCATGTTTCTTGGTAATATTTTTATTATAAACTTAAACTCATCTTTAAGATAAGACACCTTTAAGACCCTGGATTATAATTTTCAATGGTGCTTTGCACTTCACTAATCTGATTTTGGCCGTTATAAGGTGTAGTTTTGTAAAACGCAAACTCCACACAGGGCTTTCATACCATCTCACATTTCCTGCAGTATTGTTCGAAAGTTCAAAGGTACATGACATATAATACAACTAAACAATATCTCGGTACATGTCAGTGACAGTAGTATTCTGCTCAAACACGTGGTGGCTCGACTTACCAGTCAGTCATGTTCACTTCATTTCACTACACGTACCAGCTTGTCTTCAGCTGTAAATTACGTAAATGCCATTTACTTTCTGAATTGTTTGTTAACAAGATTGGCTGCAAAAAAATTCGAGTTCATTTTAGTGTTTTTGCATATATTATTCTTAATCTTATCGTCAGAGCGTTGCCTCATCGGTGTTATGCTGCGCTGGCGTTCCGCTAGAGCGCAGCTAGCTTTCCATGTTTCCCCGATTCAATGCAAGCCTATGGTTTAATGTATCTTTTATTGGAAGAGTTGTAATGAAAGGGAAATAAAGGCTCCGTAAAGTCTTTAACTTCAACAGGGTTATTCTATCCAAAGCCATATGTTACAATGTCCTTAGTTTTGTTTTGTCTTTCCACGTTTCCCACTGCGATCCATGCTGCCAAGATGAGGTATCCCCCACCCCACCCCCCCCCTCTTAGTGTTTTGTCCTGCCTCTCAGCCCTAATGAGGGAAAGAAAAATAACTTACAGGTTACAGGTTTCAGGGAAACTGGAAAGCATAGATGCTTGCACTCCTATAATGTGCTATCTCTCTCAACACTGTCGTCGTGGGATCATTTTTTTAGGACTCGCATCGCATATGTTTACAGTTGCTAGCTAGTACCATATTTGTTCTGCAGAGCAATGAAGATGCCTGCGGAGGAGGCCGTACCTTTGCTCAGGTCTTTCCACCCAACCTATAACGCTATATTCGATCTTTGAGCTGACTTAGTCAAACTAAGTTACAAATTAAGTCCTATAGTTTGTAAATTTATTAGGAATCCAAGATGGAAGAAGTAATAGAAGAGAAGCGTCATGACGCAAGGACAGAATCAATGCAGCAAACATGGAAGAATATGGAGGAACTGGAGCCTAACAAGACATACCGTGTGAGCTACACGGTAACCACCACCACTGTTGATAAATCTAGCAAGCCCAAGGACAAATCTGATGATGATGATGATGATGATGATGATGAAAACGAGAGGTTGTTTGGGGAGCATGTTCTTCTATCCAACGACGAACAAGTAACTACCAATAGATTTGAAAACAACGTCAATAAAGCTCAATTTGGAGGACAAAACAAAAGAATTTCAATCTCCTGAGAAATTGGAAACCCATTGTTATGTCCTTCAAATTGAGTTGCATTCTGACGTGCTGCAAGGGGTCTATGATTTGACATATGTAATACTGTATACCGAAGTACAATTGTTGACTGGGGATGAAACTTAAGTCTCAAAGACAAAGAAGCATAATCTTTACTGCGTCTTTTTGGAATGGGTCAGTAAGAATAGTCCCAATTGAGTTGTATATAATGCGTCTGGAAACTATACGACACTATACCATGATATCCCTTGTCACTCTTGGTACTCGACGTGCTAATCGTGATTGCAAAAATCAACTCTAAATTTCAATTTTATCATGGAACGAGGACAACAGGTTTGTTAGCCACTGGCCATAATGCTACCGTCGTAAAGTAAGATCGATTTATTTTTCTCCTAATACTTAGTTCGTTAGCTAGACTTTTTTGTCTTTACACCCCAATTTTTTTTTAGAAATAAATAATTGATAATGTGTAGTGGTGGTGGTGGGGAAGGTTAATAATGGGGATTATAGGTAGTGCAGACTCTTGATCCTCAGTAGATATCTATGCTTTCTATGCTTCGCCGTACTTGTTGAACTTATCTCCCAGCCCCCAAATCCATGTATCGTCTTTGACATATAGTTCCATTTTATTGAACAGTCGAAGCCAAAGTACGACGGACCTCCACCACAAGACCTGGAACCTGTATTGACGTACGAGGAAGCAAAGAAGGACGAAGCTGGGACCGCTGACATTGACAAAATATTCGCGATGATGGCTAAAGATGGCCCTCCACCAGAAGGTCAGTAACTTGATTTCGAATACGGTAAATCTAGTTTAGCTGTCGTATCACAGCATGGGAAAATCACGACAGAACCCTAAGATTCATACTAGGTACAAGCCAATATCGAAATAGATTTTAGAAATCCGGAGAACCCGGAGAAAAACCGTCAAAGCAAAGGAGAGACCCGGTCCAACGGCAAACTCTGCTCCCGGGTCGCATTTTTGAGAGGCAGCGTATTCGTGGCGCATTCCACCCGTGCTTTTTATGATCTCCTTACCAAAAATCCTTCTACTTTAGGCGTGATGTTTTTCCCATTTCAAACGTCTTGGGATTATGATTCTTTGTTTGGGTATGATCCATATATTTTGATGTGCCATCAAATTTTACCAGTAAACAAAGAAACAGTAATCAAGAGAATGACACGTGATCTGAGTGGGACAATACACTCTGAATCCATCCTTCTATTTCCTTAAAAATTTTTAAATATGTATTAATTCCCTCTATTGAACTGTGATGATCAGATGGGATTAAAAAGGGCACGATGACCCCGGACCTCTCTCACTCATCATCCACCATATGGATATCAAATTCTGTGGATATCGATAATCCATGCTCTTGTCACTGAGTACGGGGATAAGAAGCCATGGATGAATAACAAGATGTAACAAATTTTGACTGATTCCATTTTTAGGTGGAGTTACCGTCAAGTCCACCCGTCAAGACAATGGCTCACAAGAAATTCTAGAGACGCCTGAAGATATCTTCCGCAAGTTACACAACTGGGACAAAGAACCGACTGATTGGTGGACCAGCACGAAGAAAAAACGAGACTATGAAGAATGGATGAAGCCGATGAAAGAGGGCACTATTAGAAGGGTAAGTCATTCCTCTGCTCAGCAAGAACCCTGGAGAAGAGTACAGTTTTGAATGTTTCAATATATTTTTTTAAGATACAGTGATACTACCTCTATCAAGTCGACTTCCTTTGTTAATAAATTAGAGTCATACTCTTTGCACGTTCACTATATATATTTATAAAATAACTGTTCTCAATCTCGCGTTCTGATTGGTAGAGAGCACGTGCTTTATGAGTGCACACAGCACGCGGGCGCACTTTCAGTTTCGTCATTTATGTAATTTGTATTTTATAAAAGAAATAAAAAACTTGCTTGCTGTGCTGTGTGGAGTTATAAAGCACTTGGGGATTGACACAACACTCGAGAATTGTCGAAAACCCTTCTCTCGCGTTCTGCAAACTCACACGTGCTTTATGACTGCACACAGCACGCGCGCGCGTTTTCTATTTCTTTAATATATATCAAAGTGCTAAATTATTCAACTTTTGAAGTAATTGTTTCTCTTTTATAGGTCATCATTCCCAAAGTGGAAATTCCTTACGATGCATGTAAGTTATCTTTACGTGCTGCTTATTAACAATGAATTTGCAACAGTTAATGGACCCCTTGTACTAATTGATCATTCAACGAGTTGTATTACAAGATACATCTAATAACGTATTATATGTTCTATGTTTCGAACACGACAATAATTTTGCAATGGGCTGTAAACTTCTAGACTTTCAACAAAAAACAACAACAACAACAACAACAACAACAACAATAAAAAGCTAAAAATAACAACCTAAAAAAAAAAAAAAAAAAAAAAAAAAACCAGCATATTTTACAACAAACATTGTTATTGGTACATGTTTCAGGTGTTCGATTTGTCACTGACTGGAAATACAGAGAAGAATGGGATAAAACTTTCTCTGAAATCAAGATACTCAAGGATAGCAAGGACTCGAAACTCATTTACTGGTAAGCAAATTTTCTGGTCTTAGATTCTTTTTGTCCCATTTTCAGAGTCCACACTGTACGTTGGGTGGGGCCAAATTTAAGCGTTAATTTTCGGAAGAACCCTTACACATCATATTGGAACTTTTTCACAGTCCCCTGCGCCATCTCGAAAGGTAGCCGTGCCTTTGAATTGAAGCGAGACGAACGGTGAGCTTGGAATGATAGAGACCTTTTTAACACCTTGGACAATTATTCACGTTTCTCTGTCTTTGCAAGCTCACCGTACGTTTCGCTTCGATGCAAAGGCACCGCTATCCCTCAAAAATCCCTGGTTTCGCCCTTGCGAAGACCAACGGTAAAGTAAAGAATGTACAACTTTAACAATACAAAAACTTTGAAATTCCACGAATCTTCACTGGAATAAAAATAAGGCTAAACCTGAGCAACAGGGGGTTTGTAGTTATCATTAGGTAGTTCGATTTGCCATTAAGGTTGTGCGTTTTGCACTTTCAGCCCTGTGAAGAAGCGTGACCTGGCGTTTGAGACCCTAGACCGCAAGGAGAACGATCCACCAAGCTACATCATGACCTGGAAGAGACAAATGGTAGACAAAGATGGCCAAGAAGTCGAGGTTTCGGAGGAGGATAAAAAACAGCTGCAGTAAGTACAATCCTTTTAGCCTCACTGGGTTTATAGGAGAAGAGAAAAGAGACTAAAGGTCTGCTCTGCTCTGCTCTGCTCTGCTCTGCTAGAGCGTTTTAACGTGGCGTCACAGCGGCCATGTTGGTGTACCAAAACGATACATTTTCTATCCTCGGGGAATTGTACTCTATTTTTATGCAAAAACTGTGCAGAAAGTTGTACTATTGCAATATGGCCGCCTTTTCAGGTGTGAAAACGCTATATAAAGAGAACGCATTTCTCAACCAAGTCGCTGTTTTATTTTGCAGGCTCATCACTCATACATGCGGTATCATCCTTCGTCCATCAGAGAGCGGAGAACAAGCAACCTACATAACAATCCTATGTCAGCTTGAAGGTGAAGTAGACAAGGCTTTGAAGAACACCTACTTGGCTGGTCACCCAAAGTCCTGGCTTCGCAGTCTCAACAAGTATTACAAAAAGCAACAAAAAGGCGCAAAGAAAAAAGTTGTGTACCTCTAATTTAAGGCACCCTATTCCAGGCCCTTAGTTGACTAACTGTCGCAAGAGGCCGGTTTCTATATTAGGAGCCTGGGACCAACTTTAAGGATATATAAAAGACTTGAATATAATAACCTTAAACGTTTTCTATGCAAATATTTTCCAATATAAAGAGTAATATGTTGCTCATTTATGGGTAATAAGACTCTAATTTTAGTCAATAATCATCATGTTCTTTAATAATTATAATAGAGGCTTTGCACCATCATGCGACGGCAGCCATTTTAGATGGCAGAAAAAATACAATCGTTTTACATGGGAAAGAATTCACGATTCCGGAGAGCAAATGCGTTTTTTTTTTTTGTTCTGCCATCAAAAAATTAATGCAGTCCAAGCTATATTATGGGCGCAGGCACGTGATGGTGCAGAGCCTCTATTAAGGTGCTAAGTTCTGTAAGAACCTGTTTAAACGTGTTTATCGACCAGAACCTTTTTAGCTTTTTCTTCTAGTTTGCCCCTCTTGAATTAACTTTTTTACGGAAGAATCCATCACGTGACGACAGCCATGGTGGATGACAAAGTTTTCTATTATAAGACGGATCCGTTTTTCTTGTCCTTCAAGATGGCCGTCACGTGATCTTGTTAATTCGAGAGCTAAAGTCTTTGTCCAGCTTTTTCCTGAGCTAAATGTAAAACTGCAATAATGATAATCATTGAATATATATTTTGTAACTGTAGCATATCAACAAGGAATACTAGTTCACAGCAAACGTAAAAACACAAAGGATAAACCAAGACTGGGATGATATTTAGGCTCTGCAACCGCATTGATGCCTTTGCTTTATAGGCCAAACATACACAAAAAACAATAGAAATGCCAAGAAAATAAATTTAAAAATTCGTAACAATCTCCAAAGGTTGGAATTAAGATAACTGGTCTTGGATATGATTAAAGATCATCACATGATCTCGATCTCACGACACGACATAATTCGACACTACACATGCCATAATAAATGAAGCTCAAAGCCGTATTTAGCTTAAGACCTAGACTAATGTACGAGAGGGCATAAATGAACTTTATTATAACAATCTAATTTTAAAAATTTTAACGATTATCAGTTGGTGTAACATTAATAAATAAATAAATTATAAATAAATTATTAGTAAAATAGTAATCTTTTTCTCTTACTCACTCTCTCCGCGGTTAAGTGAGAGAAAACTTGGTTCTTATTCAGTCTGAGCCATCCGATTCGGTTGTTTTCGAGTTTAAACAAAACTGTTCCGAGTTTCCATTGCAGTGCAGTGCGAGGATGGTTAAGGGACAAATTTTCAAGATGGCGTCTACTTCGTCCTAAAACAGCCCAAGGATGCGCTGGCAATGTCAGTTCGACCAAACAGTCAACAAAATGAGACAGTTTCGTTTGTTTGTTTGTTTGTTTTTTGTTTGTTTGTTTGTTTGTTTGTTTTTTTTTGTTTTTTGTTTTTGTTTTTTTTGTACCCTTTTGGATAATTTTTGGATAATCTTAATCGTCACTTAACAAACATTCCACGTTATTTTTTCTAAATTGCAGGCTGCACTGTAATAATTTTTCTCCGCCAAAGATTTATGCCATTACTTCTGCCGCATGATATCGAGCCCTCCACAATTTCGTAAATTGTACTCTGGAGGGGCATCTTAATGCTGTTCTAGAAATAGCGAGTTATAAATTGAATGATCAGATTGGACTATCAGATTAATCGTCTTACTAAACTCCACTACCCGACCCTTTGCACAACACGTGCTTATTTTAAGTTTCCATTTCTGTTTAAAATTCAGAGTCCAAGGCTAGAGATTTCCTGAATGCCTTGTCAAAACGCACAATCTTGAGCTCTGCTATAGAGATCGGTTCCGACTGTGTCAATTTTTTAATCTGCATACGCAAACATGTGGAATCTCAAATATAAGAGCATAGGAGGCTATGTACCATTTTCCCGCCAAATCCACAGGAATCCCGCATGAATGAATTACACTTAGGTGGCAAGAGTATTTTTTTGGTGGGAGGGAGGGGCCCGTTCCCCTCCTCCCTTCGTTAATGTAAAGAATTTATGAATGAAGCAGCCATTGAAAAAGCGGTTTGTCAAACAAGATTGTAAATTTTTTGGTTAATGGGATCGGTTAACAAAGAATTTGGGCTACCTGTGTTGAAAGAATGGTCACTCACCCAGTTTTCTCCAGCGGAGTTGAAGAGGATTTATTTATAGGCCAGATGGTCCACATATATCATTAATTGAATTAGTTGGAATCTAAAAAATCTTATTAATTTGCGAGGCTGGCGGGGACTCAGGCTCCTTGGTGTGCTAGGCTTATGACAATCCGCACTGAGCCTCACGTACATGATCTTTCTAATGGAACTGTCTTGTCTTTTCTACTTGAAGTTATTTTTTATTGACGAGATTAATTCTCGTCCGACTTGCCCCCCTCCCCCTCCTCCCTCCCTCTTCCCTTCCCCACCCCATACGGTGGATTATTTCGCTTCAATCACTTGAAATGAATGAAGTTGGTCACGCAAGTATGGTTTTCAGTTTTCTATCAATGTTACTCAATTAGTCCTTGCTGCGAGTCTTCTTTAGTCCAGTTCAATTCGCATAAAGGTAAGTAGTTTTAACTTAAAAGTAGTTGAGGTTTTTCTATTCGAATATTACATAATTTCTATACTTTGACGTATAATTTGAAACCAGATTCTCGTGTTATGGTTTGAATAGAGAAGAGTGATAGACCTTCCACTCCAGTTGTACACATGCATTTTCTCACGCTAGTGAATGTGTGGTTTGCTAAAGCAAAGAATCCTAAACTCTTGATATTCCTTTCTGTATCAAAGGCTAGGTCTGTACGTGTATGTGTAGGTTTTGGGCTTCAAATCAGTGTAGTTGCCTAATCTGATAAATATGTTGCACAAGACAATGAGGCAACTTTGCATCGAGTGATGATATACCTACAATATTAAACGATATGAATTCAGTACTGAGTTGGGTCGTACGTTTCTGTCACATTTTGCAATCATCTTTAGATAGCTTGCTAGTACGTTTTTTGAATAACGATAAAGATAACGTGTTTTGAGTATCGATAAAGTGTGGACGTATACGGTTTTACTTGGTTTAGCTAAGTTACCCTAGCCTGTAGTTTGTTGACACTCATTGATAACTCACGCTTCCCATGTCATGCGATTGATAAAAACAAAATACTCCGGCTAAACTGCTTTCAAAGATTAGAGACTTGGGCTTCCGTTTCGAAACGTCGGGCAAAACAGTGTTGGGATATTTCGATCCATTGAATATAATAATATTTAACGTGTAGCAAATTAGTAGTCTATTGTGATCTAAAACCTAAGCATTACCTGACGATAAAGATCTGATTTTGGTGTCAAATGCCGAGATTGACATTGACAGAATGATTATTGACTTAATAACAATTATTTTACGGAAACCAAGAAGTTGAAAGCGGAAAAGAACCCGTTACAGTGTATTTGCATATTAATTATACTTTCAGTTTTTGTGTTTTGAATTAAATTTACTGAACAAAACATTTACTTAACAAACATATTTTTACTTCGTCGTTTTGTTGTAAGCCGGGATTGGACAAAAAGATGGATTATCTAGGTTGTAGTTAAATTTGATTGCAAACAAACCGTTAATCGAACAATTTCAACAATGTTTTGCATTTATGTTATGTAAATTTTATAACTTGTTCATGTGGTGTTTGTTATATTTTCATTATTTATTTGGATTACCTGTACTAGTGCTAAATCCATAAGCGAAACTTTACAGATCATTGAACAATAATACAAACAGAAGCCAACTCTTCTCTTTGCATATGAGGTGCCACTACTGATGAAAAATAATCTTATACCCGGCTCGACTTGCTGTTGCTAAACGAAAATTTAATTTAAAATAAAGTGATTTCTGATTCTGATCTGTAATGCTGTAATGAGCCTTTAACGTGAAGTCTCGTTTCCGCCATACTTTTTGAACATATCCGTCCCTAGAAAAGTGTGAATTACAAATACATTAAAAGAAGTTTATTCATCCCCAAATTCGATTAAGTGACCTTACTTGGCCTTTGAAAACAGTCCAAGTAAAACAAAAGAAAACAATAGGGTTAGCGTATACTACTAATGTTAGCCGGCGTGCAGCCGGACTTTTCGTCTGCGCGCAGGCTACTACTATGTATTACGTTGAGCATTCGTTCAGGGCAAAGCAAAATCACTAATTGCATTTTTTTTCTCTTGTTTTATTTTGAATTTTTCAACTGTCTTTCGCGGGTCTAGTAAAATCACTCTACTGAGAAGAAATTGTATTACTTTGGGTGTCTTTTACATCCCCATTGAACAGCATACTTGATGTTCAATGTTTAATGTTTAATGTTATGGCTAAAACTTGACTTCTTGGCGTGAGGCTCTTTACTTCTACATTTCGATACTGATTGAGTGATTGTACTTGGTCTGTGAAACAAAGTTTTACTTTTGAGCGGTTTTCGCATGACTATAAAAAGCTCTGTGCCGTAAGCGTGCCGTGCCGTGACCGTGATGCTTTCTAGAATTTTAATTGGCTGTTTTTTTGTTGTTTTTGTTTTTGTTTTGTGTTCGTGCCGTGAACTTTTCACAGTCATACGAAAACTGCTCTAACACTCAGGGTAAAAGCAAAAGCAAAGAATAGAATGGAATTAACTCGATGAACTACATTATTTAATTCGAATACCTTCAAAAATGAAAGCAATCATTTCAGAGTGGGATTCTACCCATGTGACCTAGGGTTCTTGCTTCTCCTTTAACAGATTTCTTGAATGAGGCGGAAATAGGTTACCGTTCGAAATCTTAAAATACAGGCTTCATTGCGAGGCTTAAAGGTGGTGTTACACGGGACAACTTGCAACGCCGATTTTTCGTGCAACGCTATTGCGCCATTTGTGTGTCAAATTTTTTCGACTTGTTACACGGGAACAACTTTTCGCGCAACATTTACTTTAGTATTCAATCCACGCGCTGCCAACTCACCCACGGCTATCTTTTTTCTTCTTTTCTTGCTTTTATCATTTTTTATCAACTCCGAAAGCTTCATCTTATCCGTTTCATTAGGTTTAGACAATCGTTGCAATTGCTGTACTGCTTAATTCTTCTACAGTCGGCGCCATTTTGCTGCGCGTACAATCGGCGATAGACATGTTATACGCATCGATTTGCTGAAAATTCGTCATCTTGTGTTGCAAGTTTTGGAAGCCAGATCAAAAACTTGTAACGTGTTGCAGAGTGAAATATTGCGCAAAAAATCTTCCTCGGCGCCATGTTACACGGCAACGATTTTTCGTGCAACAGCGTTGCGCGAAAATTCGGCGTTGCAAGTTGGCCCGTGTAACACCACGTTTAGTCGTATGGTAGGTACTTCATGCATGGCACAAATACGTGGATCACCAAATACATTTTTGGTAGGAGTAAAATAATGCACCATATACGATGTTCGGCTATATTTCGGCAACAAAGAGAAAATTTTGGTGGAAAAATTGAGAACTCCGATATTCCGTCGGCGCAGAAGTGGGCAGCGGTTGCTGGTCTAGTTGGAATTCGTCTTTAACGATCGAGAAAAACAAAAGAAAACCAAAGTGGGGCGAAAAAAGGCGTTTGGTTGTAGGTGAAGTCCAGTCCAAGGTGATAAAGCTGGATCAGATTCTAATCCTGCTGATTATGAAGTGACGGCAGCATACCATTGGTATCGTTTTGTCTTTCATCAGTGGTATTAGAAAACAGGTTTAAAAATCTTGATTAACATGACTTGAGGTCAATCGATCAGTCCGATGAACACGCATAAACAAGATATCACTAATAGAACCCTTTACTACACACTCTTCGAAAGTTTGGCAAAACAATTCATTTATGGTTGCTAACTTAAACGATACCAAAGAAGATCGTAAGTATCGTGGAGACGTTTCCATGGCCACCTTCTCACCTCCACTGATGCCGGGCACTGATGTCGGCACTGATATAGTCATAGGATTCGAAAACTTGGTTCACATTTTAATTAGCTAATTAATATCTACGTTAGGTTAACAGTTTGAGGCAAGATGCACAGAGTATAAACAGTTTTCATTTTTCTGTTTATTCTAGATATAGGATGTCAAATCAAAAAGTACGAGAAATCCAGCTTCACCGTCTCACGTCATTTTCGTGTGTACCAGGTTTGTAATAAGTATGGATGAAATATGAGTTGATCTACTGACATAGGCCTTGCTGAAAAGGTGAAGGATGGAAGTGACCCGGTTGTTGCTTTTGAATACGCCCCCTAGAACTGAGTACATCAATTCTCACTTTGCCTTTCAAACTAATCAGACGGAAATCTCCACTTCCCCCAAGTGACAGCTATGATACCATCCTCGGGAACCCAGGGGTAAAATTCTGTCGCTCGTTTCTCGCGAGCTCGTTTCTGGTAGCGAGAAACGAGCGACAGAATTTTACCCCTGGCTATTCCCGAAAATGCTATAATACTGCAGTTTCAAACTCTTTATTGCTCCTGAGTAACCTCGATTTTGTTATTTAAAAATCTTTGTGTGTTCCAATGAAAGAACACATTCCTTAATTTGCCATCGGTATAGACCCCTTTGCACTGAGTCCCGAGAGGAATTGTTCTTTGGTGCAAAACAACAATGGATTTTATTCACCCAGAATAAAAAAATCATTGCAAGGGGTCTATTTTTGAATATTTTGACGCTAAAATTGAAGTTAATCCGCCTGAGTAAACGAGTCTGTAATCAAAGTCTACAGTGGTATTTCACGAATCCAAAAAATATATTTTTATGACCCAAAAAAAATTTGAAAATTGAAAATTTTATTCATTATTAAATTCTTATTAACTATTAAATTCTTATTAATTTTAGATATTATTAATTATTAAATTATTATATAATAAATGCAAAATAAATATTGCATTATCATCAAATATTATATTATTTTTAATTATCAAATTAATATTTTATATTAAATTATTAATAATTATAAATCATTAATAATTATCAAATTATTATATAACATCATAATGCACTCTAACAGGTCCATCAGCATGTGCCGTTGGATTAGAAAACAAAGAAATTCCAGACGACTCCATCACAGCGTCCTCCACAGCAGAAGATTCTGCTCCATACTATGCGCGACTGAACTATAAGAGAGGGGCTTGGTGCCCAAAATTGACATCAGAAGATCCATATCTACAGATTGACCTGGGTACTATGTATGACGTCACAGAGGTGGCTACCCAAGGCATAGGGAATACTGGGGCGGATCGGTTTGTGAAGGCATATAAGTTGCAGTATTCCAGGGATGGCAAGGAATGGGAATATCACCAGGAGGGTGAGAGATATAGCCAGGTAAGGTTGAAAAACGTGGGTTTTGTCTGAGGTACGATATGCACTAAAATCCCAGTTATAAGCCCCCCCCCCCCCCCCCCCCCCCCCACACAAACCCCCCCACACCGCCATCCACGACGAGGACTGTTCAGGACTTTTTAACCCCCCCCCCCCCCCTCACCCCTTCGATAATAAGTCCCTTCCATTGATGGAGTACTTTCATGCAGCGCAGTCCCAAAGAAGCACGGGTGGCGTAGCGGTGAGACCGCTCGCCCCTCACCAATGCGACCAGGGTTCGAGTCCCGCTGAGCTCGGTGTCGTATGTGAGTAGAGTTGTTTGCTGGTTCTCTCCTGTGCTTCGAGGGTTTTCCGGGTTCTCCGGATTTCCTCCCTCCGCAAAAATCAACTACTAAATTCCAATTGGATTTACAGTGGATGAATAGCTACTCTGTAGAAATGCCACGGTTAAATCCCATTTATTTTATTTATATTTATTTATTTATATTTACAAAGACAATCCACACGAAACTCTATATGTTTTCCTTCATCTTTGTTTTGTTTCGCCCCCTAGCAAGATGAACCCGAAGCGCGAATGATTTTTTTTAACCAAAAGGCGCCCCGCGAACCTAACTTAACTTAAAAACCTTTCTAATGAATTGGATGTTTGCCTGATAGATTCTAAAGGGTAACAACGACAGTGTATCCATTGTGAGACGAGTTCTGAGTAAACCATTCCGAACAAGGTTCGTGCGTTTTTATCCTGTAGAATGGATTGGGAAACCTTGCATGAGAGTCGAGGTTTATGGTATCCAAGTTGGAAAAGGTGAGACTATCATATACACTAGAGTCGTAAGCTTAGGAATGGGACTGGGAATGGGATTCGGATTCGGATTCGGATTCCGAATCCAAATTGCAAGAAGACGATTTAGTGTGAATGAAAACAATGCAAGTGGAATCGTAAGATCACTGATAAATTTTTCTTACGACTCCGCTTCCGATTCCGTCGCTAGTGTGAACCACCCTTTACAGAGAATTTCACTCAAGTCGTCTCGCAGAAACTATGTCATCGCCGCCATTACTATTGTAGTTATTCCAATTAGTTTTGTTTGTCGTCGCGGGAGTTTCTTTTGTTTTATCAACCAATATGGCTGCAATGTTTCAATATGGCTACAATCTTTCATTGTTCATTTTTGCCTTTTCAAATTTGATTTTCTCCCCCCTCCATGATAGGAATTCAGCCTATCGCGAAGAACAATTAATTCGTAGCTCGACATATTTTGCTTGGACTAGCCTAGACCTAGGACTTCACAAACGCTGATATTTATACGAAAAAAACCCCAGCTTTTAGGAATATCCGTCATAATATCTTCCACAAAGTAGAAGAGAAAATAGGTCTTATTTTTAATTATTTGAGACACTAATAACATATAACCATTGGCTAATGCATTTATATTGTTCTTTTATTTACACAGCAACATTCGAAACGACCGTCAACGTCACGGATCTCCATGGTAACGGTCTAAAAGGAACTCACACATTACAGTTTTGTTTACAACTGTTCGGCGAGGATGGTTACACAAGGAAACTGCCGCTGGAGATCGAGGCAAACAGCAAGGAGAAAAATCAAGATATCCTTGTTTTCAAGAGAAAAATTTTAGCAGCCGATGTGGGATGGGTGAGTGTTTGCCCTAGGGTTATCAGTCAACCTGAGCCTGCGTTCCTTATGGGCTTTTTTTTTTTAATTGTAGGTGCTGGCCATGTTGATCGCAGGCTCTCACCCTAGATTTGTCAGTCATGTATCTTATTGGATATATGCATAATAGACCCCTTTGGAATTCCAAATTACCGCTGTGTTTCTTGATTACAGACTCATTTGCACAGGGTTAACCTCGAGTTTGTGCAGAATATTCACTTGTTCCAGTCAAGGTCCGTTGAGTTTCAAAATGTTTGTATTGTTGAAGTTGTGCATTCTTTACTTTTCTGTTGGTATTTGTGAATATTTAAACACTGATACGAGGCTAACCCTGTGCAAATGAGTCTGTAGTCAAGGAATACAGCGGTAATTTGGAATTCGACACTGGTCTATTCCTTAACTACCTACGGGTATCGTTTAAAGAGGATATCCATGCATAGACCTCTTTTTACTGACCATGGACGTAATGTTTCCTTATTCCAGACCACGTGTCATTCCCTTGATACTGAATAAGATTCTCTGTTTGAGTTGTTCCCATATATAGTAGTCATCTCATGCACAAGCGTTAAACAAAGAAATAATATTCTAGAGAATGACGCGTGGTCTTAAATTGGAAAACATTACGTCTAAGGTAAAGAGATCTATTCAAATATGAGATGGGTGCACTTTGGTCGCGTCTCCAAATTTCGATCCACAATCCTTTGCACCACCAGGTTGTTATCAGACTTTCATTGAGCTTCAAAAAAATAATTCGAACTTTGTTTTATAAAACATAGATTCAGCATCTTAAACTGTCGTACGAGAATAGCAAGAATGTCCAGGACGATACTCGTCCCTCATTGGTCCAAAAACTGCGCCGAATGTCTTCGATCATGGGTGACGATGATATGAGCAATGGAGAATCAGGCTTGTTTATCGATGAAATTACCATAGATGTGAAGGAGACGGGACAACATTTTACGTTCCCTTGTAAACAATGGCTGATCCAAGGACCAAGTGAGTAAAGTACTATACGGACGTAGGCGGAGCTTTTCATTTTCTAATAGTTCGGTTTTTAGGGCTATATGTTTTTGATCACAATTGTTGGTAAATAATAATAATAATAATAATAATAATAATAATAATGAATAAAAATAATGAATAATAACAATGATGATGATTATGGTGGTAATGATGATAATGATGATGGTGATTATAAAAATACATAAATGAAAAAAATATTTACAAACGCTCTTGAAGTTAAACACTTATTTATTAGGGCCATACGGACGTACTTATGATTCAAACATTTCATAGAGTTGGCAAGAGCTTTTTTAATTTAAAGTAATCAAGCTTTCCTGTGTCAGACGTTCCGAGGAGGCTCTGATTTCCTCTTCTTTTATGGTGAAACGGTTCATGAAGACTATAGTATTTCTTGTCTTGGACAGCACGGGTAGTTATTGCCGCCATTTTGGCTGACTAATTATTTTGTTATGTTAACCAAATTGGCGGCCATTTCTTTTGTCGCGTTTTCCATAGCAAGGGGTGCACCTCACCTCTATTAAATATTACCATTGAATTTACTTAATGAATGATCGGTATTGCAGCGGCATTTGATCCCGCTCACCGCCACAAGTCCAGACAAGCAAGCTCGAATTCTTACACGGTCAACGATCAAGACTTTGATCATATTTTACACCAAGAAGCAGAGGAGACGGAGGGATGGCATAAACGAAAAACACCCAGTCATATTCAGTCTTGGAGAAGACAACCTAACCAATCAGAGACCACGACACTAACGAAGGTAAGTCTGGGGAGGGGAAGGAGGGGAGGGGAAGAGGGGAGGGGAGAAGGGGAGGGGAGAAGGGGAGGAGAAAAAAGGGGAGGGGAGGAGGGGAAGGGGGGAGGAGAGAAGGGGAGGAGAAAAAAGGGGAGGGGAGGAGGGGAAGGGGGGAGGAGAGGGGAGGTGGGGAGGATGGACTGGAGAGGGAAGAGGAGTGCTGGATACAGGGAAAAGAAAACACAACACACAAAATCTAAGAGAGCAAGGTTAAATTTTGTAGCGTTCAAGAAATATAATAATTTTACCCAAATGTTGTAATGTTTAATCTTCACAAATAGTTAATGAATTGTAATCTTGGCCAAGTTCCTGAGACGAAAATAGTCAATGAATTCTAAATATTGTTCTCTTTCAGACAACGTTCAATATAGATGGAATACCATACGATGATGGTAAGGGGGTCTTTATAGGTTCAACTATTTTCAACATTATTTTTATCAGTAATAAGTTAGACGCAGAGAGAGAAAGAGAAAGAGAAAGAGGTGTACTATAAGAAAGGGACAATGGGGAGACTCTCCAGGCCCGTCGCTAGGAGTGGTTCGATAGTTCAAACGAAACCCCTCCCCCCTTTCCTTCCACCTTCGTAGGATTACGAAATAATGTTTAGCGCTATTTTAGTTTTACTAGAATTGGCATAACTAATATTGGTAGAAAAACGAACCTTCCCTTTCGAGATCCTAGCCGGGCCGACACAGGGTGAGAGAAAGAAACAGGCAGACAGGCAGAAACTACACTCAACAGGACATATTCCAAAGTGCAAAGGTAGATAGTTAAAGCCAAGCAATTATAGCATTGTTTCTTTCTCTATTATTAATCTTTTATTCGTTTATCTCATAACAGCTGTACGCTTGTTAACCGACTGGAACTTGCGAGTCAAGTGGGACCAGACATTTAGAAAAGTGATTGTGATCGAAGAAAACGTAGACTCGGATATTTTATATTGGTAAGGTGTTATTGGGTACGATGTGATATAAATGATAGAATAGAATAGAATAGTAATATTAATAGACAGCTATTCATATAGATATCAACAACATTTCTTCTCCATTTTCAGCTGTTTAAAAATGCCGCCACTTTTTCGACCTTGGGAAGTTGTTCTATCTGTAATGAACAAAGCGTACCATACACCAGACCGGTGTCACGTGATCGCATGGTGCAGTACAGAGCACTCTAGTGTATCGACGTCGGAAAAAGCAACTTTAGGCAGGTAGGGATGAGTCATGGAATCTATGCAAGCTGATTTGAGGAAAAGTGTTAGCCAATCAGAATCGAGAAAATTTGCAAAACTGAGGTGTCTGAAAAACTATGTCTATTTTGAATATGACAGATTTATGCCTCTCTCCTTTTTTCAGTCTAAATAGAACTTCGGTAATCTTTGTAAGGGCCAATACCTTCTCGGCTCGGGCGTAATGTTTTTCCCATTTCAGACCACGTGTTATTCCCTTGAGAATAAGATTCTTTGTTTGAGTTGTATCCATATTCATGTGTCTTCTCATGTGCAACTGTTAAACAAAGAAATGATACTTTACCGTTACTCCCAAGCTAGAGGTCTATTCACGTGATACTCGTTGTTATTCCTAGGGTGCAAGTTCGCCTTTCAGGCATGGTAATCAGACCAATAGGAGACGATAGCGGTTCATGCAAAGCAACTCTGTTGACACGAATGAGATCAGACGAGACAACACCAAGACCAATCAAGAACACTTACCTAAATGGACGTCCCGCCCAGTGGGTTAAATATTTACAAGAATACTACGTGGAACACGGGGCCAAGGAACCGGAAGTAAATGGATCAGATGAAGTATTCGGGGATCAGTAAAGAGAACCGTTTACGCATGCGTCATAAATTATTAAAGAATTTTTTGCAGGTTTCTAGCGTGGGCTTCACTGGTTTATAATATCAATGTGTGACAGCTATTTTGACGCTGAGGGAAGGAAGACCATATAAAGCCATTGATTGGTGAAGACTTTGACGCCCGAAATGCGCTATGAGTGATGTGAATGCGATCAGTAAAGGGACACAACAATATGGAATTTTACCAACTTTTTGTCAGCACTTTTGCTGACTCATTTCCTTCTCTATTAACATTATTTTCATATATATGATAAGATTCATTTCAAGCTCAGTAAACAACATGCAGCATGCAATGCGTTTCACTGGCAGATTCAGGAGTTTTAGAAGGAGGTGACTACAACGAAGGTTTTACCAGGTATTCGAGGAAAAGGGGAGTGGCTGTTACAAACGATATACTGAGCAATTTGAGCAAAAGGGGGTAGGGGGGGGGGGTAACTTGTTACTACCATCACCACCAGTGGATCCGCCCCTAGGCCATGACATATAACACCCAACAAAACTTCACCAACATTTTTTGAAATAGCTGTATATAGACCCCTTACACTAAATCCCAACCTGTAAGTCAAAACAATTACGAAATATTAGCATTAAAACATTCCGATCCTCTAAAGAATGGATTTGCATGTTTTGGCCCCAAAATTGGGAATTAGTATCAGTCTCGTATAAATGAATATGAATGAATATTGACAGAAATAGAATTGAGATTGGTCGTTACGTCATTAGAAGGGGCCGTTTCGTCATCAATTATTCAGAAGTGGTTTCAAAAATTTCTGCGATATGATTTTTGCATTTGAATGGATATCTATCCAGCTGAGCGGTGAATTTTGTTTCAGCCAATCACAGCTCGTTTAACTTGTTTGCCGCCGGCCCTCATTCCCACGCTACTGTAACCGAACTGTTGTGTATTTTTCTGCTTTCTTTTGACTAAAATATAATAGACGTGCCTACGAGAAGCAGAAATAGGGAAAGGAAGAATTAAAAGGAAATCACTTTACCGCCATATTTGCTTCGTTCTTTTAAGCTTAGGGACGGTCATTTTGTCAAATCATGCTTTGCGCGCCGCGTTCACCGCTCAGCTGGATAATTTGGTGTAGAGAGTGTCTTAAATCGTTCCTTAAATCAAATTAACATTCATTACATTCATCTAACTTTTCTTGGAAGTCTTGTGTTTTCCACCCTTTCGCTACCCAATCATTTCAATTAGGAACTTTTTACTTTTATACGAAGTTTTGAGAAATCAAATATTGGAATAATATAGGAATATTGAAATATCTGAATATATCAGAATATATTAACTTATTATGAATATATTGTTAGTACGTTATATACTTTATTTTCATTTAGTGTGTTTTCCTTGACTTCAATTCTTCACTTTCTGTCCTTAAGAAATCTTCCATTAGTAACAACAATAAAACCAAATTTACAATGACACATTACTAGTGTGTATGCATGAGCACTTAGACGTTGTTGTCAGTTACTGCACGCATGCGCAGTAACTGAACCTACAGGGCTGTGTTTTGAAGGACACTAGAGAAAATGCATGCGTGTATTTCAGCACGTTTTCTAAGAATTTTGAAGAGTTCGAGTGAGAAAATAAATGTTTGTTTTCTCAAAGTATACAAAAACGTTTGCGAGTATACTTTTGTCAGATCAAGATACTGTCTTAATAAACACAATATGAAAGAATTAGCCTTAATTTTCAAGCACGGACACTAAGTTTTGGCATTTTGTGAAGTCCAATTTATCAGACCTATTTGAAAGTCATATTTACTTATGTTTTGACTAATTTGCATACGGATTCAGAGCATTTGCAGACGTTTTTCACTCGTGTTGTTTTGAAAAGGGAGAGCCTACGTAGCAAGCAGTTGATGTAATATGTTCATAAAAATACGTTGAATTACTCCTAATACAATAGATAGAACGACAATAGAATACAATTTGATTTTCTGAATATATTACATCAACTGAGTACTATGTAGGTTATCCCGTTTTGAAGTAGTGAGTAACACAAGCCAGATGGAACGCATAAAAGTTTGTTCTGGACTAAATCAGTATCAAAGCCAATAACATTCTTACTTTAAGAAATCACATTTTTACTTGCAAATGTGTAATTACTGGGATACGGTAGTCCGTTCATAAAGTGCCTTTTTCCCCCCTGCACAACAAAAATGGCAAAGTTGCGAATTAGTACCCAGGGTTCTTCAGGACTTTACCCAAGAGTGACTTTGCAGGCTTCTGCTAACCGGCTACCGTGCGTAGTCAGATTATATATATACTCGACAAATGCAGTCCAATTTTGACCAAATAAACAAAAATAAATGGAAATGGATATCATGGCATCCTTTTCACGATTGTTCGGTCCAGTCCTCGCATGATTGTTCGGTCCAGTCCTCCCACGATTGTTCGGTCCAGTCCTCGCACGATATGAAACTCAGCAATGCGCAGCTGCCAAATAAATAGATTATACTCCAGGAAATGACACGTGATCTGAAAAATGAAAACATTTATCTCTACTGGTTGAGAGGTCTATTTTCACGGGCTGGCACTGCTGGCGACTCAGCGCTATCAATCTCTAAGAGTATATAATAAGTTTTTAATATGGTTGAAAGAGAGAGTGTTTTGGTCACCTGGCTCGCTTCAAGTTAAAAATAATCTACCGAGTTGTTCGACTTGAAATGAGAAAAAACGTTTGCGCATGCGTGCATTTAAGAACGCTTTCTAATATAAGAATTTAGAAGAGTTTGATTGAAAAAATAAATCTTTGCTTTCTCCAAGTATACAAAGGATTTCGCTAGTATACTTTTGTCAGACCAAGATACTGTAGTAACAAACACAAGATGAAAGAATTAGCCATAAGTTTCAAGCATGGACACTAAGTTTTGGCATTTTGTGAAGTCCATAGTTGTCAGGCATGTTTCAATTTTTTATATTTTTACAATAGCATGAAGACGTTTTGATTAATTTGCATACGGACTAAGAGCATGCGCAGATGTTTTTCACCCGTGCTGTTCGACTGGAAATGAGAATGTACTGACGTCAGGGGATAATGGCTAGAAACGAAGAACAAAAGCGGACTTCACAATATCATTCATTAACCCAGTTTTCATTTACACCTGTTCCAAATTTTCGCCTTTCTGAATACATTATCAGACATTTAAAGGTGATTTTCTCCCTTCAAACTCATATTTCAAGTCAAAAACTCAAAACTCTACCATCTCGAAAACTATCTAGGGCTTTTTTAAACGGTTCAAGATAAAATTTTAAGTCCTAGAAAAACTTTGTCATCATCAATAATGATATTTCCATGGAGTTTTGGTGCAAACAATAAATTATTAATACAGTAATCAATTTCCATAATTCTGTTTGAGCAGTTTTTCCATGTTTTTCAATATAGCTCTTCGTTATCTTTTAAAATCTTAGCCGGAAAATCTTCAGAATTTAACAAATAGAGCTGCTTTATTGCTCTAGAGGACAGAACGATGCTTTTTCTCGGAGTTCTCCTCGTTCAGGTTTGTGATTTTTAGACTAAAGCGTTTTTAATCGTAGCCAAGACTTATTCTGACTTTCAAGAATTATTTTCTCTTATTTAAACACCTGACATTATTAACAACGGATTTTCAATTTCTTCTCGATTTCCTAGGTCTTCTGTTCTCCTCTTCTTTCAAATGGTAAGACAATTACTTGACTTTTTAATCTTCCTGTGGCTTTAGAATTGCTAGCTTTTAGCTCAGTTTTTTTCCGTTTCCCGCGACAAGCGATAATTACCAGCAGTTCTAAAAGTCATTCTATCGTTACCTAACTCGACTTTTTAGTACGAAAACTCTCAACACTTTTGGTGGTTTTTTAAAAATGCTAGCTCCTGAATTTCCACATCATAAATATCCCTGTAAAGTATCTTTCCTTTTTACCCTTCTTTACTGTTTTTTATTTGTAGCTGTATTATGATAGTCGCTTTTATTTACTTTCACACCGACAGTATGTGATCGAAGCGATCAAATTGTCAAATTTAGGGTCGGCAAATACATACATAGTAAGTTGATAAAAATATGGCCAATTTCCTCTGCATCCTCTGCGACATTCTATCAATACTTCCGTCTTCGTAAACATATATTTACTTTGTATAAATTTTTGGGCAAATTAAAATATTTTGTAATATAAAAGAGCCTATTTTGCGAAAGTTGAGTTATTCATTTTCGTACTTGAGTTGACAATAATTTTCACAGGTTTTTGTCAAGAAGTCACTTTGCAAAAAAATAAATAAAAAAAATAAATAAATAAAAAAGAATGAATACATGGCTTTCATAGTGCAACTTGGGCTCAGCATCAGGAAGTCGTTTATCTAGCTCTATCATACGAAAACAACACGAAATCAAGGAGAAAAAGACGAATAAACCGGCAAGCAAAAAAAGAAAAAAAAAAAGATTCAACTTTTCTCTAAAACACACACAACAATACACACAACGAAAAATGACATAAGCTCATAGAATAAATAAATACATTGATTGACAAAGACACCATATATAAAGATCGATCGGGTACGAACTTCTATTTCGATAAACTTTACAGGCACACACACACACACACAAAAAAAAAAAAAAAAAAAAAAAAAAAAAGTAAAAATAAAAAAACAAAGTAAATTCAGGCTAAACTTTTCTGAATCATTTCAATACAGGCGATACAAAATTACGGTCACCAGTCTTGGTTATCCAAAATCATTTGAGATATTATCAGTTTTCACGTCCAGTCACTAACGATCGTCAGTTTTTAATGCGAGATGTAATGAGAGTAATTCTTCACGAGTATTATTTATTTCTGGTGCAAGTTTTATCGTTTTCCAATTGCGCCATATTATTTCATTATTCTACCAAAGTCTTTATGAGATGTGAGTATATCAGAGTTTCAAACTCAGTATCTTTTCAATTGTATTTGTAGACAGTAGTAAAAATAAAAATGGGATAAAAAAAAGTTAAAACCAAACTGAAACAAGCTCTGCAAAGGCACCGCAGATCGGTTGTGAGAATCGTTTATTAATGATATCGTCTTCGTCATAATCATCATCGCCATCATCTCCGTAATCATCATCGTTGTCGTCCTCATTATCATCGTCAAAATCATAATTATCGCCGGAGAAAAATTGCAGGTTTTCTTGTATCTAAAAAGGTCCCCATTTCTGTTTTTCTAAGGTGCAAGTCTGAATGCCTCAGATCAGGCCTCTACATCAGGCACAGCTACCCCTACTCTCTCAGCAGACAGCACAGTAACCATAGATGTAGCATCCGGTGTTCCTTCATCAAGTGTGGTTGAGCCATCCAGCACGACATCTACACGATCAGCAGCAACCTCTGCCATCGGTATGTATAGAAATAAGAAAGCAAAATTGTTGGTTTACTTTTACAGCAAATTTAGAAGGCAAAACTATTTCTTTTTCGCAATAAAAATTTACCAAAAGATATAAGTTTACCAAAAGATAGAAAAACGAATTCGGTTGACGCTAAATGGAAAAATGAAACTTTTCCCCTTGATCCAGTAAATGCAACTTCTGATCGTAAATGCTTTTAAATGTATGAAATTCCTTATAGCAATATCTTGTATTTTACCGATATAAGGTGCAGGATCTTATCTATAATTAACCCTCTCGGGTTGTTCTTTCTGAACCTTTCATCATCTATATATGATTTGTAATTTTACTCTCGCTTTCTGAAATTGCTCAGTAAACTAGAGACAGAAGAATCATAATAATTGGTGTATGTTTTTTGATAACTCATGATTAAGGATACCATCGTTGCCAGGGAAACCTTACGTAGTGTAGTATGATCAAACACAGCTTATTGAGTCACTAGAGAAATTGTTTGTACAGCATTTAACAGTCATAACTTATATCAATAATACAATTTCATAATCATTAACCTATTTTAGGAAAAGAAACTGAATATGATATTTTCTTTTTTTCCTTTTCCATTTTTGATTTTAAAAAAGAATTCAAAACGTTTCTATAAAAAGACGAAGAAAGCCCCCAAAAATAGTTAATATTCATAGGCGCCATCTTGGTTACATCGAGCAATATTTGTTATTGTTTTATTCTCCGGGGCCGGGTTGTTCAAAGCTGGATTAGCGCTAATCCAGGATTAACTCTATAGGTCTTTTTAAGAGTTAACCCAGGATTAGCACTAATCGGGCTTTGAACAACTGTGCCCAGGGAATAAATTCTAATAACTTAGATATCCGCTCCTGCCGTATCGAAAAAATTCTTATAGCAACCATTTGCCAAAACATTTATTCACCATTTGAATTAGATTTACTGTTAATATTTGCTAATCGGTCCCATTAAGGAGAAAAAATAGAATTCGGTCTTTATCTAAAGAAAATATATGAAAAGTAGTTTATTAATTCCATCATTAATTATGTAAAAAAAACTATCATTATCGTCAGCACTTTAGAATGTTTATATTCTAGTTATATATAAATATGATATTTATATATTATTATCATTATTATTATTGTTATTCACCTCATCATCATCGCCATCATCATCGTAGTCGTCATCGTCGTTGTTTAACCTGATCATCGTCATCATATCATCTACATCATAGCATCGTCTTTATATCGTCGTCGTCATCGTCGTCGTCATAATCATCATCTCCATCATCTCCGTAATCATCATCATTGTCGTCCTCATTATCATCGTCAAAATCATAATTATCGAGAACAAATTGCAGGTTTTCTTGTATCTAAAAAGGTCCCCTCTTCTGTTTTTCTAAGGTGCAAGTCTGAATGCCTCAGGGCAGGCCTCTACATCAGGCACAGCTACCCCTACTCTCTCAGCAGACAGCACAGTAACCATAGATGTAGCATTCGGTGTTCCTGCATCAAGTGTGGTTGAGCCATCCAGCACGACATCTACACGATCAGCAGCAACCTCTGCCATCGGTATGTATAGAAATAAGAAAGCAAAACAGGGACGAATATATCTAGGATTTTACAGCGCTTCCCATGCAATCACACTAGCCAAATCATACAATTTACTGTCGCGACACTTGGTTTTAGTGGACGTCAAAGGCGCTTTCACAACATTCCATAGGCACGTGCTCTTGAAATACCCCCTCCCCTCTAAGTCACCCGTGCGCCGGTGGTGACCATTTCTATACATAAACACGTTAATTAGCATACATGCAAGCTGAGGTAACATTCATTTCTAAGATGTGACTTTTAAAATTTGGGTTTAGAGATGTATATTTCAGAACAAAATAAAACAAAGAGGGAGAAGGGTGAAATTCTGACCTATGTGTATATATCGGCATGTTAAATTGCCATTTGGTCATTGATCTTGACCCTTTCGGCCTACGTATACTACCGGCTATTTTCATGCCCTAAAAACAATGGCCGTTTCTGAAAACCGACCCATTCTTAATGATAAGTTATTCCGATATTTTAATTTTGCAAAAATAGCAATCAGTTTCTTTTGGGTCTCTGCTAGTGGGCTACCTGTGTATTTCATGGCTATTGACTAGTGATTTGTTGTTTTTACAATAGTATTTCATTTTCAAACTTTTCAGCTGGAAATGCGCCAAAAGGAGAATGTGATGACCTTAACTGGAGGCCAATCATGCAATGTTCTACAGAGGATCAGTTATGCAGAGGGGTGAGCTCGAATTTCAGCAATAAGGCCTTGAGTTTACCAAACGTTACTTTGATTAAGATGTCTTTCTTGGAGCTTCTGTGACATGCGAACAATATCTTTTAGTATAGCTTAAATATAAATTTCAACACGTCTTCTTATATGTTACTGGTTTTATTTTTTCCAGGCTTATATCAAAAACGTTAGCAAGCTTTTCGAGTGCAAAGGGGTATGTTGGTTAAGACGCCACCCTCCCTCCCATCCAATCATTCACCCAGCCAACCAACCAACCAACTTACCAACCAACTAACCAACCTACCAACCAACCAACCAACCAACCAACCAACCAACCAACCAACCAACCAACCAACCAACCAACCAACCAACCAACCAACCAACCAACCANCAACCAACCAACCAACCAACCAACCAACCAACCAACCAACCAACCAACCAACCAACCAACCAACCAACCAACCAACCAACCAACCAACCAACCAACCAATAAATCAACCAAAATATCATCCATCTATCCGCCCACCAACCAACCAACAATTCCAACGATTGCACTCATCCATCAACTCACCCATCGCACCCACCCAATACAAAAGAGCAAACAAAGAAACGAACAAGTTACTCACTCCTTAATTAATGAGACAATATACGTTAATTTTACACCCAAATGAGTTTTTGCCTTTTATACTATTGCTGAAAGGTGTGAATGATTCCATTCGTTTTACAGAGCAAACCAGAAAACGTTTTGTCGATGGAATTGGCAGCCATGATAGAATTAGTTGGCAAACAAGGCACTGAAAATTTGATTGAGAAAGTCAAACGTGGAGAGGTAGCCGCTGTCAATGCCTCATCTTTTCTTGTTAAAGATATTTTTGGTAAGTATAGAGAATATTAGCAAAAGGTCTTCAGTATGATGCTAGCGATGATGATCGTTAGCAGCGAGTTCTTGTATACACTTTTACAACAACTTGTCATTTATTTCTAGCTTTGAGTAGCGGAGTAGTTGATGGTCGATTCGTAAACACGACAGACGACAAATACCTAAACTTTCCAAACTATTCGATGGTAGCAGATAGATTCACTGGACGATGGGAGACAGTAAGGGACCAGATAAGTTTTCCTGTCAAGGTCCTCAAAAAACGGGGTAAGTGTCATGTAGACACATATGCATGGGATATTGCTTTAAGGTATCAGGGGGACCTTCAAGACCGTGTATTCAATAAGCTACTCTTAAGTAACTGATAATATTGATCATAAAGTATGGTCAATATGATTGATTACAAAATCTGCGTTAGTCAGGGTTCAAGACAATAAGTACTTTCGTAGAAATTAGATGAATAATTAGTGCGTTATGAGGTTTTTAGTAAAGGTGTGAGTCGTGAAGGTTTCTTGCGTTGCATTCCAGAAATGGCAATTTTCCTTTTACTGCTACCTAGCTTTATATGACTATCTATAATTACGTAGATGACGACTAGTTTTGGAACTAGTTTGGACTGCGTCGGTGTTTTTTAGTTGAATCAAATGTGTCGTAGTAGATAATTTAACCACCGTAGGTGCGAAAGATAGTAGACTGACGTTTCGGACGTTATTCCTTCGTCGGAGTCAATGAGAGAAAGAGAATGATGCAGGGGTTTATATAGTGGTGTAGGGAGAAAACAAACCAATGCTATTTTCTTATTGGTGTGTTTTCTTCCTACACCACTATATAAACCCCTCCATCATTCTCTTTCTCTCATTGACTCCGACGAAGGACTAACGTCCGAAACGTCAGTCTACTATCTTTCTCACCTACGGTGATAAAAGTATCTACTACGACACATTTGATTCATCTATAATTACGCAATATGCATATATGATAGTCCTTGCAGGTGCTGCGAACATCCCTTATACTTGGTCGGTCTACCCAGACCTAATCGAAGATAGGCCACTGAAAATGACTGAGATCGAAACAGATTACAATCAGTAAGTATACAAAGATTGTTTCAAGAATTCTACTGAAGAAACAGTCCTTGCGCAAGCCTAGGTTTCTGCTTCCCTCTTCCGCTTTGTCTATAGAACCACCCGTCACCACCCGTGCTCACCAAATCAATGCAATGACGGAGGATAACTCAGCACTTACGTATCACTTCTAAGGCAGTGCAGCATCTAAAGCTCCGGTCATAGTCACTTTGGAAGTAGCAAACCTTGTACCTGATTCTGTATCTTTCTTTTCAGAATCATCAAAGATTCTGACGTCTCAGACCTTTACTTAGATAACGACGGCGTGCTTAAGTCAAGGAAAAAGTTCGAGGGGATCTTTATCAATAGCAATGTTTTCAGTCTCAATATGATGGAAAACATTAGTGATCTGGAGGAGCCAGTGCTTATCACCCTCAGACATAAAAAGGTGGGTACCATGGCAACGATAACTGCTTCCATAGCCCTTTTCTTAGTTGACAAGCATGATGCATTCTGGTCTAGCTTCAGTACAAGCAACACCAGGAAAGATAAACAAAATGCTAGACCACAATGCACTATTTTTTTGCTATCTCAGAAAAGGTTTATACATAAAAACTTAGAAGCTTTTTATACAGAGTATTTCAAAAGGCTACGCAAGTTTACTTGTGGTTCAGGAGGTCAGACTGAGAGGAGATTGGAATAAAAATCAGCAAGTTATGTCTCTTATAATGAAATATTTTTTGAAAAAAATAGCCAAAAACTTGTCCCCGGTGCAAGTTCTTGTAATCTGGGATGTTTTCCTGTTTTGCGGTTTGTAGTTTAGGACTGATGACCGACACCGATTATGTATGTCTTTTTTCCTTTGAAGGATTCTCTTAAGGAGCCTTCCTGCGTCTATTGGGACACCATTAAAAGGTTAGTTACATCAAACTATTGAATCTACAGCTGTTTTGTCTTCAAATATGACAAGGCTTCAACCACCGGAATTATCGTTTTACGAAGTGCTTGTATTTTGGGGAGATGGGAAGTGATCGAGAGGCTTGGATATTGGGCTCATGGGAATTATTTTTCTGGTTGTTTTATCTAGCATTTGGTCGAGAAAAGGTTGCAAGATTCAAGAAACAAACTCAACTCACACAGTGTGCGCCTGTAATCATTTGACGATGTTTGGCTTAGCAATGAAAGAAGAGATCGTGGTAAGTATACAATATTGTAGTTTAGAGGTGTAAGCTGATGCTACTTAGCAACGATTTTTGTCCCCATGTGATAAAATTGGATGTGCAATACCTTTTCGAGTTTGAACAGAAAACTGGTAACGAGAAGAACGCGCGCTGAAGTATTGGGCTGTTTTAGGGGAAGCCATCTTTTTCCCAAAATGGCGAAAAGCCTAGCAAACTGTATTTAAAAAAATAGACCCCCTTGCAATAAATCGCTTCCTGGTAGTCAAAATATCAATCCTCAAGAGAGGGTATTCTTTTGTTCCAACTCTAAGATTGAGAATTAGTGCAWAACTCACAATTATGTTTAATATTTCTCTAAACCTTTTGTTTACAGGAAGATTTGTCAGACCGTGAGGCGGTGGTGACTACAGCTACCGTGTTTGGCATAATCTCCACCCTTCTGCTCATTGGCAGTGCGATATGTGTCTTTGTCGTCGGGTAAGGGATCCTCTTGACTCTTGCGAATGTTCTGAATTGTATGTGTCTTACAGTTACACGAGTAAATGTTCTACAGAGACGTGAGACGTTTCATAGCTATAAAAGTGCAGAAAAAAACTTTCATCTTATTAAACGTATAATTGATTATTTCTCCCTAAAGGTATCATTTTGTAGACAACATGCGCATTGCCCTCAACATTGAACTGGCTTTCGTGCTCGGCCATCTTTTCTTCTTCATTGGACTTTCCAACAGCTCGTCAAAGGTAAGACTACAAAAGCCCTACAAAATGGACTATTGAAGCTACGTCAAGTAATTAAAAAAGTGGAACTTGCTCCATTATCACAGAATTGAGGTTTTCATGGTCACTTGCTTGTGGCCATTTCAAATGGCAGAACAATAGATTCCTTTTAGTCTGGTGAATTGTATTCTTATACATGTATGTAGAAGGAGTTTATACGTTCATTCCTGTCATTCAACATGGTTGCCTCCATGTACTATTAAGCAATACCTCTATTATTTTTCTACTCCAATGAAGGGCTAACGAAGAACTGACATTGGCYATAGTGTTATATGGCATCATCTTAAGCCCAATAATAGCTAAAGTTATATATATCATATATACAAACTATTAGACCATTTTAAGTCCAATAATCCAGTATTCCGATTACTACTTACTTTATTGGCGGTGACCCAATAATAAAGCCAAAAACAACCGGTGTTTGTCTTGTGTTATAAAGAGAATTTACGTTTGTAAATGTTTTAATTTTTAGTTCATGTTGATGACTGAAAAGGTCGAAATATCGATCRCCCTGTAATTGGATTTTAATAAAACCTTTTATTAATATGAGATAAGACTAATAAGATTAATGATTTCTTGTATGTCTAGTATGTTGCTACACCAGCCACTTGCGATGTCATTTCTCCATTCGTTCACATGTTCGAACTTGCCGGCTTGGCATTCTTGCTGATGGAAGGGATTTTCTACGTGGAAAGATTCAGTAGTGTCTTCAATAAAAAGAACACGCGTACATTCTACATCTATTTGGCTCTCGGATGGGGTAAGATATGTCAAACGTGATTCTCATGCTATGACAGTTCTGAAGCAATGCTAAACCTTTTCCTAACAGTGATTTWAAAAAAGCACTTTTGCCTCTCACCAATGCATGGGAGGCACGAGTGCCTTAGCGGTGAGAGCTCTCATYATTGCGACACGGGTTCAAATCCCGCCGGGCTTGGTGTCTATGTGAGTAGAGTTGCTTGTTGGCTTTCTCCTGTGCTTCGAGGGTTCTTCGCAGGGTTCTGCAGTTCACTGCTCTATGGAAGGACTACTTTACTTTGAGCATAATATTTTCCCAATTCAGACCACTTGTCATTTGCATCAGTCATTTCTTCGTCGGTTTTGTACGTCGGAGAATATACAACTCAAACATTTAATCTTATTCTCGAGAGAATGCCGGACAAGTGGTCTGAAATGGAAAAACATTACGCCCAAGGTAAAGAGGTGTATTGCCGGACGGCAAAGGCAAAATAAAGCAGGGAGGTGAATGAAGCCACAGATGTAGCGTCTGGTGTTATACTGATGGAGTTAATGCATGAGACCCAACCGTAAGAATTAAGGCGACTTTTTTCAGCTTTAGAATTTGGTGTTTTTTCCCTTGCTAGTGGCCCCCTCAGTAAAAGCAGCTAAACCCAGATGGTCGGAGGTCTTTTCCATGGAGATATTCTATACAAACGTTTTGATCTGTTTGCAGGATTACCAGTTGCATTGGCTGYCGCGTGTGCTGGATACCCATACTCACATTATGGAGCACCAATTGGAAACGAGTTGTGAGTATCACCTCAACCAAATCTCTACTCATGCTATGGCACTATTCCCGGAATCGTGGATCCTGGAATGTGAAAAGTGGGATTCTGGATACAAAGATAGTGCATGGGTCACTTGCCATACATTCGATCATTGGTCAAACAAAACTTTTTCTACCTTACAGTATCAATTGAAGATTGATTGCAGGGAGAGGGGATGTGCAAATGGGAACCTTATCCTCCCTACTTTAGCATACATCCACAAGATCTTAAAAYCTTATTCCCCTATACCACAGCTTCAGGGGTACTTCACTACCAAGTACTTGACCACAAAATACCATGCATACAACAATCCTTCTTAATGTAACTGGGTATCTTTTAAATTTCACAGTTGTTGGATGTCAGTGAATGGAGTGGACGTTTGGTTCTTTGGAGCTCCTGTGCTCATTCTTGTCTTGGTAAGAATTACACTAGTTATAATGCTTGATTTTTAAAATATTTTTTTCGGCTTCTAATTCACRCGAACTTTCTTTCAAACAGCTCAACTTGTTGGTCCGAGGCGTGGTTCTGCAGAAGGTTTTGGGATGGAAAGGCAACTCTGATGATATTAACATTCAAAGAACAAGGTTAGTCATTGGTCAAAATGGAATAAGATACACGGTTTTCATTGATAGAGCCCCAATTTGTGACTGGTTCATAGACTAATAAAGGTACATGGGATCGAACGAACCGTGCTCTAACGATATGATTGTACGTCGACTATATTCTGGTTGTGCCAACATTCGGGTACTATTGATAGACATCATTTCCAATCTCCCTCGAAATTTTTGATATTTAATGGAAATGAGATTCAATTAGTTCAGTAACTGATAAAGGCCAAGCAATATGTGATCAAAATTCAAACTTGTGTTTGCTGTCGTTTCGTACTTCGTTAGGATCAGGCTGATTTCCTCGATCGTTCTTCTGCCCGTCATCATCTTGACCTGGTTGTTTGGTATCCTGGCAACCAATCACTCCAATGAAAAAGCGTACCATTACTTTTTCATCATCTTCCATTTTCTCCAGGTAAGACTTATGTTGAAAGCCCTCCTATTTTCGTACGATTTCTCAGTATTAACCGGTGGACTTCATGTGCTCCCTTGCATATTATATCCATGTTTATTTTATACAATTAACGTACGTACTTGTGCCACCGTTAACACTCAATTTAAAGATTCGATGACTACAGAGTAGGTACGGACTACAAAAAATTTTCCCTTATAAACTGGGTTGAATACTTCTGCGCATGCTCCTATCAATTCATTTTCCTACCCCAACTGCTACGGTAAGTAGTCGAAACGTTTTACATAGTGTTGACAACTAATATCTTTTTGGTCTACTTTTAAAACCGATATAAGGCTGCGTTCGCATTAAATGGCAGATGTGGGGGGGAGGGTGGGGGCAGGTGAGAATTTGGATGTCCAGAATAATTCTTAACTCCCCCCTTAAAGTCATGCAAAAAAATACGATCTCCCCTAAGCAAGATCCCCCCCATTTTTGTGATAAAAATTTGCCTTCTCCCTTTTTTCCTACCAAAATTTTTCCGATTCCCCCTAAATTTCACCTGCCCCCCCCCCCCCCCTGCCATACATTATGAACGCAGCCTAAACAACATGTAGTCCGTAGTTTGTAGTCATCGAATCTTATATTGGGTAATGTAAACGCCCACGGTATGCTGTAATGGCCAATAACATATAGAATCACTTTCTTTGTAGGGCCTTCTCGTGTTCATCTTCTACTGCGCAAGAAACACGGAGGTAAGTGTCAATATTTTTTTCTACAGTAAAAAAAATGCTTCATTATTAAATCATGTATGGCAGCCATGTTTGCTTGTGAAAACCGGGGAAAACACTATTAGTGTCGAATGCTTTGTTGCTCAGGGGTCAGACACACTTTAATTTATGTAGAATATTCATGCGTTTCAGTGAAGTTCCGTAGAATTTTAAAAATAGTTTGTATTTTGAAGTTGTACTGATTATTTTCTTTGTCGTTGGTMGTGTGCTTACTGTGCGGACACACCGGGACCACTTGAATAAAACTGACCAATCAGATAACAGTAAACTAGACAGAGATTRAAATGATAACAGCGTTAGCCAATCAGATTATCATGATCACGTTCTCACTCTCTTATAATATCGATGCGCTATCTGATTGGCTGGTTAAAAAATACTGAACTAAATGTTGCAATATGATTGGTTAATGATTTATAATGATTTATGAATTTATATAGCGCCTTTTCTATATGAATATAATCAAAGGCGCAAAACATTGAGAAGTGAATGACAGATTGCTTTTTGTGCAATTTACAAGCATGAGAGATGGTTAGTATGAAGTGGAGGCACTGAGGGTGGTCACTGCCAGGGTTTCTTTACGTCCTCAGTGGTTCTTTTACGTCCCTCCTATGTTGGTTAGTAATGATGAGTGTGGAGAGACGGGACCGCCATTTAAAGTGGTCATCCGAAAGCCACTTGAAAGTCTTGAATGTAATTACAAAGRTAGCACTTTCTCCTCAGTTATTTTAAGGTCCTGAGTGTTGGTCCGGCCGGGACTCGAACCACGACCTCTCGCACGAAAGTCCCATACTCAACCAACTGAGCCAACCGGTTGGCGGTTGGTTGGTGATGCTGGTTTATCAAAGTGGTCCCGGTTGGAGTATCCGCACAATAAAATATTAAACATAGAGGTGGAGATTGTCGAGTGCATTAGTCTCAGCTCTGGCTAGGGGCACTCAGCAACGACTACCAGATCACAACATTAATGACACATTCTCTGTTTAGATGTGGGAATACTATAAAGACAAGAAAGAAAGAGAACTGGCAGAGAAGGTAAAGCACAATCTTTTCCCTGGTTCAAATTAGAAAACCTTATGCCTATAAAACTAAAGAATCCATTAATGCTCTTTATTAGTTGTTGTGTTGAGAAAGATAAATCAACAAAGAATCATCAAAGACCGTTAGATGGGTGTTATCAGGTTCTGGTTATTTTTTTGTAGAATTCCGAATTTATTACAAAGCTTTTCTCTTTTCTAATACACTCAGCAAAATTACTTGATTCCGACTGGACAAAATGAGTACAATTAGATCCCAAATTGTACTCTTCAAAGTCCCAATTAAGTTGAGTGTATCGAACGAAAATCGCAGGATCTTCTCRTACAATTCGGAATTTGTTTTTTATACTCGTGATGTTTTGAAAGTTCTCAAACCATCAAACGTACCTATAAATAGACCTAATCTCCTGTTTTCCCATTTCAGACCACGTGTCATTCCCTAAAGTATCTTTGTTTAACTGTTACACACGAGAAGACGCATGAATAAGGATACAACTCAAACAAATAATCTTTTTCTCGAGAGAACGACACGTGGTCTGAAATGGGCAAAACGTTACACCCAAGCGGATAAGTTTCCGAATTGTACTCGAGATTGTACTAATAATACAGAAATAGCACATTACTCTTTTTCTTCTTCTTTTTCYCCAGAATGCAGTTTACCATTTCCAGTACGTTCCTTAGAGGGATCAGCATCATATCCGTCACACTGCACGACTTTCTTATATCCAACACGTCAATAACCACGATAGCACCGCAAATATTTACGAAGTGTTAAGAAAGACTTATTGTGAAACGTCACATATAAAGTAGGAGTGAAGAATGTAAGATGAAGACTTACCAACACTATTTAAGACACTTGTTTAAGCTTTTCATTGGTCCTACCACACGATACATCAGCTGTAGACCATTAGCATACAACATTTAATGATATGTTTCTTATGAGGCTAACTTTAGAAATAGAATACTCCATTCTCGAGTTCTCTTTGCTCAGTCTTAGTCTCGTTAGACGTTGTGGCATTTTAATCAGCTCGTATTGTTACGTAGTACGTATATTCCTTAACTATACGATGGACTCTATGAAAGAAAAGAACACATTTTTAGAAAATCAAGACCAAGACTGAGAAAAGGCGAACTGGAAATGGGAGTATTGATGAGAAAAACTAGTGACAATGTTGTCATCATTACAGCATTAAGAAAAGTAAAAAAGTAAACATGAATATAAATAATTAAACAACTCATTAATAATTCATGAATGAAACACAATAGAAATCATGACCATGAAGGAGGTTTTATATCTGATATAGATTCGTCTTCATTTGCATAAACTTTAACTTGGATTTTCTCTATCAAACTTGGTTCATTTCGTAAAGAATTCGGTACAGTATGAGAACATACATCAGGAGTTTTTTAAGACGTTTAATAAACTCGCAGATCGTGTTTWATCGGGTCTAAAACCACTCGGCTACGCCTCGTGTTTTATACCCGATAAAACACTCCTGCTCGTTTATTAAACACTACATAAACTACTTGTAAATTATATTAATGAATAATATAATGATAATTATGTTAATTCACAACTATATCAGCTTCCGATTTATATTCATGTTCATTCCTTTTACTTTACTGGAAAATGAAGACAAGTTTTCTTTCATTCCCAAGAGAATAAAATAACAAAAGATACGAGAGCCATGTTGGATGATATAACAAAAGAGACTAGTGACGAAACTTTTGTTAAATTCATTCAACATGGCGGCTGTGAAAACCATCAATTTGGCTGTTGTAGAGTAGCATGTTGCTGTCARCCATTGTTATACGACTTTTTTCGTGTTCTGCGCTGATTAGAATATTGGGCCCAGTTGTTCAAAGCCCGATTAGTGCTAATCCTGRGTTAACTCTTAATAAGGCCTATAGAGTTAATCCTGGATTAGCGCTTATCCAGCTTTGAACAACCCGTTGCTGGAAATATTGGTAATTTCGAAATTTCTATAAGTCCCTTAGGTAAGGTTGCACAGTTGAACTTGTACAAGTTTAAGGGTCGTTTTTAGACTGATCCCATGTATCGATAATATCTAATTTACATTGGTCCTGCTGGAAGCCTTTATGAGAGAAGATCTTGCGGAGCCCTCGAAAGAACCACAACAACCCAAGGAAGGGTAGGGTAGGGAGAGCATCCGTAGGGCCAGATAATACAGTGAGACCAAAAAAATAATTAACGGCGCTACTGAGTATTTGTTTTCGCACTTTTAAAACATTTTYCCCCGCAGAAAATGAAACTTAAACTAATATCGATTTTTGACATTTTAAAATTGCTATCATTTGCAAGGCCAACAAGCGCCCAGTCAAGCTCAAATCAATGGGGGAAGGGGGAAGGTTTATTCTTTTGGTAACCCATTTAAGAAAGCCTGACCCACCTGTTTTCGAATTACAAAATGTTTTTTTATACTGTTTGCGGTGAAAGTGCTGTGATCTTTAATTTTTTTGTGTGCCACCTCCCCTTTTGGCTTGATTAAAACTGATAACATTCCTTAGCCATTCGAAGGTTGAGGGAAAGACTGGGTCGATTTGGCATTGCAGTCATATTTGGGCTGTTTTAGTGTTTTCTTCTTTTAAAAAAGCCCCAAAATGCACTACAGTTCCAACTCGACCCAGTCCTTCCTCAATCTTGGAACGGCTAATAGCCATATTTGCCTTTCCTTTAAATACACATTGCACCATAGGATTTGTGTATAGGATTCAGTTGCAAATTATTGCTCAACTTGAAAAGTTTCTCATGGTGCAACTACGAAAGTAAGTTTAATATTAAACGTTGTAGAATAAAATTCAGCACAGAAATGACCGTAGTATTGTATTTATGACAAAACGTAATGATTGTTTGCCAGCATTCTTAAGAGGGTCACGAGACAAAGACAAGGAAGCCATTTTGGTGGGTTTAACAGAAAAAGCTACAGAAAAAAAAATTCAATTTATTTTAAATCACCCATTACTTTTATTTTATACCAAGGATAATGATGACATTTTACATTTTGATTTTAAATGATTTTTTAGTAGATCCTCAGCACGTCGTTGCTAACGTATCTCATCCCTGCTAGTTATCTGATAAAAATGTTAGCCAATCAGAATCGAGAAAATCTACAAAACTTAAGCGGTCACTTTTCTTCTTGAAATTGTGGATTGTGAGTCCGCCAAATGAAAAAAATAACGTTACTAAGAAGCGCTTGATAAATAATGGCACAAAAATTAATGAATTTTTTATATTTTTATTGTTGTAATGCGGGTATGTTTTTTTTCTCGTTGGACAATTTTCTCAAGTTAGTCGTTTTTCTTTTGAAAGGAAGACTAGTCATTACGACGTTTTCAAAGGATTGTGATRTCATTGCATTATGACGTGCGTGAGAAACTGGAACCAAGAAATTATTACTTGCGCGCGCATATAACATGACGTCATAATCGTTGACCTGTAGTGTCCAACTCAGTTTTACACACGAAAACAACATACTCAGGTCGTCACGGAATCTGTTATTAGTCTTCGCGTCTGTTGCGACGTATAATATTTGGCCGCCGGCTTCCTGGGGAAGTGCTGTTTCGTAGGGCCCGGGGGCGAGTGGAAGTGAGGAGTTGAGAGAGAGGAGTTGACTGTTATAACAGAAGGATATCGAGACTGTCCTAGAATCCCCTCGGGACAGCCATAAAATGTGTAAGTTAATTTTTTGAGTTTGTTAGAAGTTTATTGACATTTTGATGATTATAAGTTTTTGATTCTACAGCGAATCGTGTATCTTTGTGAACCTATATTCGTATGAACGTGTAAACAATTACGAAGGAAATATGTGATTATTGGACGAACCACGTTGAATAAAACCTTTGAAAATACACGCATATCGACCTAGTCCCGAGGCAGAGCCCTGAAAAGGCCTACAGCGTCTATTCGGGGATTCTCTTCATCATGCATGATAACACAAGGTGCACGTTGCAAATAGGTCTGTCTACACATGCACTACAAATCGCTATTTTTATTAAAACATATATGGACTAAAAATCTATAAATGGCTTCCGTTTCCAATCAAGACCACCATCAATGTGTTGTTATATGTTGCATGGCTTACRAGTTGCATTGCGCGTATATCAATCTGATGGGGATTAAAAGTAAAACTTTAATTAAATTTTCAATAAAACAAAAATTCGTTTTATCTGTTGAAAAGATTTCGATTCCTTGCGAGGACACGGCAACATTAACAGCAGTGTTTTTTTCTTTTCGCCGAGTAGGCATTTTTTATTGACATTTCATGTTGCTATACTATACTTACATTGGACGTAAGCCGCCTAGTCTATACTGGTATCTCAACCATAGGAAGAGACTCTTCATTCCACTTGACCCATTAAAACGAATTGAACAATTAGTAATATCAAGTAATGAACAGCACCAATGTAAAACAAAAGTGACCAATCAGTTGTTTTTCTATTCAATTTTTCATCTCAAGGTCAGTTGATGTGCTGTGTGGTCACCCTATAGCTGTTCTCCTAACCAACACTGTGTGGTAGACTGTTGTGTTGCAGTGCATTTGAATGCTGGGTTAGTGTTACCATAGTAACAGGTTCCCATATTCCAAGGTCAGTAGTTGTGCTGTGTGATCACACTATAGCTGTTCTCCTAACCACCACTGTGTGGTAGACTGTTGTGTTGCAGTGCATTTGAATGCTGGGTTAGTGTTACCATAGTAATAGGTTCCCATATTCCAAGGTCAGTAGTTGTGCTGTGCGCTCACACTATAGCTGTTCTCTTAACCACCACTGTGTGGTAGACTGTTGTG